CCTGATTATGTATTCTATTTAATATTTAAGAAGTCATAATATAAATTGAAGTATATCTTGCTGATCAAAAATCAAATGATTATTTAACTTTCTTTCTAATATATATAACACTCTTTCTTGCATTATAATTTATTCAAATGACTCATTTGTTATAAATATATTAAACGATTTATTGATAGATTAAACATAATAAAGGGGAGTAATCAATGTTGAACCCGCATTTGATTGGTTAATCTGGATTTTAAATCTCGAAACTCGAATTTCGAATCTCGAATTTCGAACCTCGAACCTCGAATCTCGAATGAGCCTTTTGATTGGTTAATCTGGATCTTGAATCTCGATACTCGAATTTCGAATCTCGAATTTTGAATCTCGTATTTCGAAACTTGAATCTCGAATGAGCCTTCTGGGCTTTCGTACAAAAGTGTATACTATTGAATTCAACAAGATATCACAATGTTGTTTTTTTTTAACCATTTACCTTTGACTATATACAGTCTCAATAATTCTTTTATGATTTATAAACTTTTATTCCATGTTTTGTAGGTTCTTTGTGCGTCATGAGTTTCTTCCAAAAGAAACGCAATATTCGCCTGTAGCTGAACAAAGCTGCGATCACGGTAAGATATTATCCATTTTCCTCTTGGAATTCTACAAGTAAAAGTGACTGTTGTCGTCATTTTATAGCGATTAAAGGTTTTTGCGCTGTGCATAACTGGTGATATACTTCTAAAAATATCTCGAACAAACAGGAAATCTCGTAATTTACATCCGATATAAAGCTTTATAAGTAATTTGATTTGGATATATTTCCAAACTTAAAAGAAGGAATTTTGCCTTTGGCGATATTTTGGAATCTACGTATTTCACAGCTTTTTAATAGAATACAGTAGAGTGGTGCATCAGAAACTTCACTATCATCTCTTTATTATCCTTTTAAGTCTTGAGAATGAGAGGGGAAATTTTCAGCAATAATAACACTCTCAATATAGGATTTGTTTGTTGAAGTTCAAATTTCCAATACTGCAAGAGTTATTTGAACAGTTAAGTAGAAAGAACGAGGGCGCTTTTGATTGGCATTCGGCAGGAATCTGGGCGTTCTTGAAAAGTGAAAATTTTATAGATATGTCACATGAAATTTTAACATTTATTTTGTTTATCGGGATCCTGTGCAATAGGAAATAAAAATATTTTCCCGAAAGTGAATTTTAATTTGCGAAAAAATAACTTGAAAATTGGCTAGATCAGACATTTGGTACAAAATGGTACATTTTTAAACACTTTTTTCTAAATTTTTTCCATGTCTGGGTCTTCTCTCCATGATTTTGAAACATTTTTTGTGCGCATTTTAATTCAAAGAAACGAACATACATTTGCAAAAAATGGAGAGAAGACCCAGAAACCATAAAAAATGAACTTTTCCCCAAAAGTCCAACTGTGTAAATGTGGTGCTTCTTTGTCCTTTTAAAATCCTCAGTAATGTGTAGCAATGATAGCTCAGTAAGTTGGGCTACCTGTTCAGTGCACTTACGAGAATAGCTTTTTGTTCGAGCCTCGCGCGGGGCGTTAATATTTTTTATTAATAATCAATTCTTTTGTCAGTCTCATTTAATGTACTGATTTATTAAAATTTTGAATTGGATAAATTAGGTAATTTGCACCGAGAGCAAAATAAATTCCAATCGTCTATTCTACTTAAACTTTGATGCACACTTATCATCTATGCCTTTTACATGACTATATCTTATAGATGCTTATTTTTTGTGAAGAATTACGTTATTGTACCTCCTTAGAAAATTGTCATAAAACTAACAATCTGACATGGTATTTCAAACTAAATGAAAAAAATCCTATGGTTGTTTGTTAAATCTGACCAGCTGTGGTCTGCGTGGTCAGCCAACCAAATCATGGACATTTAAACCATAAACCAGATCATACGCCTAATGCGCCATCTTCTTTTCATTTCTATGTTTTTTTTTATCCGTTTTTACCTTTGCCCGTTCTTCCGTCTTCGACACTTTCTTCTTCCTAAAACTACTCCTCTGTTTTATTTTCAGCAATAACCAATTCATATTTTGAAATATAATAAGTGGTGTCCCGTAGATGTAGTTTTGGAATTCTAAAAATCACCCACCCTTTTGGCAAAACAGGGGGTGGGGGCACAAAAACTTGCTTCCCAGAACTCCTATTATATTTTATGCAGTAGCCTATTCACCTTCAGGAAAATTATTGGTGGTGTTTTGTAGATGTGAAATAAGGTTTCACAATTTTCGCTTTCACCTTGATTGTCAAATGGGTGTCGAAAACGATTTTATTTCTACTATGAGCAGGTTCTCAGAATTCCGTTTACATCCTTACAAACTAAGATACATACTTAGAAAATTCTAAGGAACCTTAGGAAATTTGAAATCATAGAAATTTACCATAATCAACAGCATAAAAACAACTTTTCAACTTAATATACAACCATTCCCCCATAATAAACTAAAGACAAGGCTTTTATATATCACTGACAGCTGCTTTTTCGATAAAATGGAACTCGTAAATTTACTTATCTTGTCATTGTTATTTGCAAAATAATTTTGTTAAGAAACTTTCTGATTGTACGCACAAGTACTCTGAAGTTCATATTAAAGGATGCTTGAGTTTCTGATTAACAATATCTGTGTGGTTTTTGGAGATCAGGTCTTCCAAATATCTATTGGAATTCCCATGGGTACTAATTGCGCCCCTTTATGGACAGATCTATTTTTGTATTCTTATGAAGCAGGATTTGTCCAAAATCTTATACGTGAAAAGAAGAAAACACTTGCCTTCAACTCGACATTTAGATATACAGACGACGTTTTGTCAATAAACAATAGTTCTTCCATTCTTATGTCGTTAGATATATCCCGGTGAGTTTGAAAAAAAAAGATAGACCACACAGACTGACACGTCTGTTTTTTATATTTAGATATTTTACTTGAAAAAGACATAACTGTAATCTAACAACCAAGCTCTATGATATAAACATGATAACTTTTCAATCGTCAACTTCTCTTACTTATGCAGCAATATACCTTCATCACCTGATACAATGACCTTGTCAGCAAAATAGTACAATTTATCATTGAGTCTAATGCTGACTGACGTTTTTCATACTAATTATTAGTTAGGCCATAGCATACACACTGAATTGTCGACGGATTTTTCTGCTAATTCCCGATCATGACAAGGAGCACACGGCGGGTTTGACCGGTCAGCAGGGAATGCTCACTCCTCCATAGCATCTGATCACTACTTTGATGCTTTGGAGGGTTCGTGTTTGCTCTGCTCCTACTTTGTATTGTTTCATGGACTTTTGAGATTGAATACTATTCGTTATCTCCGTATTATTCCTTTTATGCAGCAGCTTTATCACATTTCAAAAAGTGGTTGGTGGTATCCTATAGATGTTCAATAAGGTACAGAATTTTCATTTTCACCCTGGTGTTCGAATAGCGGTGGGAAAAGACTTTTTTAAACAAAAGCACCCGAGTTCTCAGAGCTCCTCTTACATTTTACGTAATAACCAAATCATCTTTTGGAAGATAATTAGTAGTGTCCTGTAGATGAGCAATGAAATTTAGTCATTTTCATTTTTAATGGGAGTCAAATTAGGATCGAAAAAAAAGACCTTGATTGCCAGAACTTCTCTTACGTTTAATGCAGTAGCCTACTGAGAATTTGTTTGTGTAGGTTCTTCAATTGGCTTCAACCAAAACAAATTTCCTTGATGTTGACGAAGAATTTATCAGTCAATTTATTTTATATTTGATATGAATTCATGAACATAGTATATTTCCCATTTCTCATTCGTTAAATTCTGGTTATATTTATCTATTTATTTAACATGCATGTTCATTATTATGATTGACCTCAATATTTTAAAATTTCCATTTTACGGTGTTTTTAATCTTTACACCTTTAATTCATATTATTTATATCAAATTGAGAAAAACTGAAAGTTTTGAAAAGATTTTTATTAACATAATTTTAAAGGTAACTTTTACAAAATGACCTTACTGTATAACTGAAATAAATCTTGTTACGTCTTAACCAAATTTCCGTACATGATACGTTGTTCTATTGATGTCCTCCCATTGGAGTCAGCTTTCTCGATGACTGTCTTCACTAATCTTGTTTCATGTTCTAAATATTGAATTTACCGGGTGGGAACAAATTCAAAATTTAGAACACGATACTTGAAGAATTCTTTATTGTACGGACCTCCTGTTCATTCGAAATCGTTTACTGTTGATATTTTTGGTAGCTCAGTGTTAATGTTTTGCTTTATAGCTGTTTTAAAAAATCTAGAAAAAAAATATCAATTATGAAAAGTGAACGCTAAAATAGAATTACAAAATCCATACATATTTTATTAGCAATTTTGTTTAACAATATACATTGTTTTTTTTTAAATAAATAACAAAAAGCTATCATGTTATATTTAATCAATATACGGTATCCTTATTTATATATACAACGTATACTATACCTCCTGTATTTATATATACAATGTATACTATACTCAAAGATTGGGAAACTTTGAGCTTTACAAAGAGCAAAGTTGGTAAACAATGATGTTATTGAGAGTCCCACTTCCTGATTATACTGTAGTTAATATCTTTGTCTAGTGACAAGGCCAGGAAGTTTTTTTTCATACTATATTAATCTCGAATGCTGACTTCACAATGCACTGATGATGTTTATATTTAAATGACCTCAATTAATATTCATGAGACTTGTATTATAATAATTATTATAATAAAAGCCAATATATGTCAATACTGAATAAAACATTCTTACCTATGTGTTAAGGTAATCTTTTTATAATAATTAGAAAGTGCACGTTCATATTGAGTCAACGGTACTCCTGAGATTTCTTAGAATCTCACACAGAAACAAAGCAACGTGAAATCTATTTTTAGATATGATTACAACTATTTCCTTCTAAATATATTAATGGAAACTGACATAACCTTGCATAATACCGCGAAACTTTGGAGACACAACATCGTCAAATTCTGTAGAATATGGCATTTACTGACAACAGAATACTGTGGTGGATCGGCATAGAAATTCTCATTTTAATCACGTTTGCCGTTGGAGTCGTCGTGAGGTATGTATTAAATATGTAAACATTGATCACGTGTATTTGTTAGTAAACAAACTGACGCATGGTAGTTTTAATACAAAAACGGTTTTTAATCTTTCTTTTGTTTGTTTTGGTTTTTCTTTAACTCTATACTGCAATAGTTGAATGTATGTCTATCTGCTTCAAAATCGCTCATAATCTCATTATATCCTCTCTTTTTTTCAGAGTGGCAGACGCAAAGTACAGCGACGAAGACATTATAATTACGTTTTGTGTCCTGGCGATTTGTTTAATTTTGTTAATGATAACCGTGGCGTGCTACTTCAGATCACTCAACAATGAAACGGCAAAGGTTAGTGTAGAATATGATAATTAAGCCTCAATTAATTAGCATGATTTTTTATAGAGCTTTTTAATTTTTATTCTTTCACGTTTTTTTTTTATTTTATGTGTGTAGGAAAGCAGTGCTGTCAAAGTGAACGTTCTCGATCAAGGAAAAATTTGGATGAAAATGAAACCTATTCATAAAGATTTTGGTACGTAAATTTTAAAAAGACCGTGTTGTAAATTATAATTGGCATGTATTTACGTTATTTGGATAAAAGATGGAATATAGTATAAAATATATACTCTCTCTTCTGTAGCATCTGATTGTGCCATCTGTCTGCTTCCTAAGGACTCGGACACCCACTCTATTGTTCAAATCAGCTGCAAGCATGGTGAGTTTACTTCCAGCATATAAATACATATTTCAATTTACCTACTAATAAAGTTTTCTTTTTTACGGACAAACCTAAAAACGCTTTAATTTTGTGATGTTTGTTAACCTGAAATTTATTTTGCAGATTACCACAATAAATGTATAGAGGAATGTTTCCATAAAATGGGAAGCTTGCAGTGCCCCGAGTGTCGCCAGGATGCTAAAGACTACCCACCCCCTACAGCTGTGTGACCCTGACCTATATAATGAAGGAATATTTCAGACTCTACAAGCGGGAAAAGAACATTTGTTTTACCCTCAGAAAACTGAAGGAATAGGGTTGCCAGAAGCTCAAAGACGAGGAATGATCTCAACTTTTTTCTCTGTAAAAGATTGCTGGATTGTCTTTGGAGATGTCCAAAAGGTTTTTGGAAGAGAGAAGTCCACGGCTGAAGGATTTTATGCAAAGATGGATGTTCATTAAAACTGACTGGGATTTTTATATAAAAAAGAAAAAAAAAGAATATGAATATGAATAAACATGAGCAGGGATGGGATAATTGAAGTGTTAGTTATTAAAGTTCTCATAATAAAGACCAATAATGCAGCAATCTTAGCTCATTTTGTGCAATATTTTTATTTTTTTATATTTATACCGGTACTTAATCAATACATTTATTATATCTTATTGTCCTTTTATGTTCCATTTTTATGAATAAATTGATGTTAATTTAATTAATTTGTTTGTGATTTTACGCTCTCTTAATTTCATATGCACATCTGAGCACAGGTGCTCACGGACAGCCCCCCCCCCCCCGACCCGATATAGACCCCGGGCCTTTTAGACTATTTTCACATAAATTATACATAGATGACACATTTGCGATATAATCTATTCTATCAATTCAGAAAATTTGCTAAAACAAACATTTTATAAAAAAAATTTTATCCCACTCTACGTAGATTTTATAAAAAGTTTGTTTTAGGTAATTTTTCGAATTGTTGGTATATATTTTATCACAAATATTTCATTGAAAGGTAATTTGGGGGGGGGAGTCGAAAAGGTCCAGGCGTCTATAAAGGTCCTCAAGCACCTGTGCATCTGAGGACGGATTAAGAAATTGAGAAAGCGCTTGTGATAATTGAAATTTGTAAATTGTACATTTTCTTTTTCTGTTATGATTTGATATGAAACATATGGAGATAACGAACAGTATTCCGGATCAAAAGTCCATAAAACAATACAAAATAGGAGCAGAGCAAACATGGACCACAAAACATCAGAGGTGAGTCAGGTGCCATGGAGGAGAGAGCATCCCCTGCCGACCGGTCACACCCGCTGTGTGCTCCTTGTCATGATCGGAAAATAAAGGAAAAATTCGTCGTCAATTCGGTGTATAAATAAATAACAATTACAGATGTTCATTTGACTCAATGATAAATTGTATGCTGACAAGGTCATTGGACCATAGAACTTCGAAAATTAAACGAGACATTTTGTTTCATTAAATTGTTTTTCAATAATTTACCTCGTTGTAGGAATTGTTCATACGTAGAGCATGCTCTTGCGTTTCTAATCAATTGATATATGTAAACTCCGTATGCAGGTGATGAAGGCGTATTGCTGCATAAGTAAGGGAAGTTGACGATAGAAAAGTTAAAGTCATCACGTTTGTCATAGAGCTTGGTTTAGATAACCATTAAAGTCCATAAGAACTTGAAACAGATGTGTCACAGGTATCTTTTATCTCAAGACTAGGATATAATCGACATAAGAATGGAAATTTCTATTGTTAATTGTTTCATCAAATTGTTTTTCAATAATTTACCTCGTTGTAGGATAAATCGTATAAATCGTTGAAGGAATTGTTCTTTTTGATGTACTTAGAGTACTTATGTGTACAATCAGAATGCTTTTTAACAATTATTTTGCAAATGACCATCAATTAAAACATTTTTTTACTGTCAATGATACGAAAAGCCGCTATGATAGCATTTTTTTTTTTGTTTGTAAGGATTCTTATGAAGTTTCGGAATCCAATATATACATGGTAGTTCAAATTCATTTTGGTTCTTTGGGATATAAAAATATTCAAAACTGACATATGATTTTGAAGAATTTTTTCCTTAGAAAGGGAACTATAAGTAGGATTACCACTTGTAGAATTAAAACCACGTTCTTTGAAAATACAATTTATATACCGGTATTAAGCCTTACAAACAAAGACAATGTTGTTACCTGCTTTGTCAGCAGGGACCATTACGTACTGATCATGTAATCTATCTAATTTTTTTTTCACTTCTGGATTATAAAATACAGAAGGATATATGGTTTTCATATTGCCCCTCGGTCTTTTAATATATACGCGATTTTAAAATGGATCTGATGCATTTAATCCATTCTGACAAAGTGTCAACGTCTTCTTTTTCATACCTGGCCCATCTCCTGGCGTAATCTTCGACATAATCAATAAATTTATGAAATTTCGATGCCAGTTGAAGGATTGGGGCTCCCTATATTTAGGATCTTTTAAAATAAATGATCTAAGGTCTTCATTATCAACTATATTTACATCGCCTGTAATAATGTGTCCAGCAGGACTATAGTTATAGGGTGAAGAAAAACATGAATACAATGGAGGATTATGTTTAAGATACTTGATATCCAGGCCATGTATTTTATTACATGTTCATATGATATATTTTCTTTTTATACCCTCAGTAAATTTACAGACCAAGTTTTAAAATATTTTTGTTGGTGAGAAGTACTTTAAAATTATTTTTATATCATCCTTTTTTCAATATTTCTGCGATAAATATATTTTTTATAGAAATATACCTCCATCGGTCGGGCGGATATATACGGGGACGGGAATGGGGCTCACAGTAATTCTAATGTCTTTGAAAGATTAGTTACAAAAAAATTATATAGATTCCACTTAAAAGATCAAGGAGAGTCATTTGATTTGAAGATCTTATTTAAATGTCCCCCACCCACCATTGAAATATGTTTTTTTATGTTTGTTTTTTTTTTTCATGTCAAAAATTTCGGAGTCAGACATGTGGGCTACCAAAAAAAAAATGGGATCCGCTCCTGTGCATTCAAAGCATATATTGACTTGTATTCAAAAATCGACTGAATTCAAACTAATCTCAGTATTTATTGCATTGTATTTGAAATACAACATAAAGCCTAACATACATAATGAAAACCTTTTTTATGAAATGCATAAAATTCACTGAACTTAAAGTAAATTTCCCTCTAAGCGCTTTGAAGCATTACTCAAATATTTCTTATGGGCATGGTAGAAATCTTCAAGTGAATCACTTGATCAAAAAGTATCACTATGCATATCAAAATAGAGTTCTAACTTTCTGAATCTTGGGGGATAAGAATTTTATTGAAAAATAGTCTAGAAAGGAGGAAGGGGGTTGAAAGCAGTCTCTTTACACATTTTAACATGTATGATTAATGGAAAGACAGAACTGTGTCTGCACATGAATAATAACAAGATGTGCGCATTGCAAAGAGTTCATAAAATATGTTTAGGTACTTGGTGACACTTGGCCTTGCAGTTTAAATACATTATTATAAAAACAGATTTTAAATTATATTTCTCATACATAAATACATGTACATATAAAACACTACTGTTATAAAAAGAACATTTTCCTATTTATATTTGGAACATTATTCTTTAGTGACTTTACTTTCGTTTTTTTTTTATCCATTACGTTAGCTATAAATTTAGCCTGTATAGATTAAACGCTATTTTCAGCTGCGGATTTAGCGAACGGAATGTTCAAGATACAAACATGGATTTAACTGGGTCTCGCTTTGCGTTAGTGATAACTATTGAAATATTGACTCTCTTTGTGTACCTCTTCTGCATCCTAATAAATATGTAAGTATATCACTTATTCAAAATTTTAAAAAGTCATGTGTCTCCCTGGCCACTTCCCGTTTCTACTTGATTTTTAATTTCATCATTTCCTTTTTAGTTTGAGCGGATCAAAGTTCTCTCAGAGAGATACTATATTTACAGCTGTGGTGTTTAGTACATGTTGTACTATTCTTGGAATAACCGTACTCTTTGCCTGCAGGTCACAGAACGGGGTATCACAGGTAAGTACAAAGTACTTATGAGCATTATACATGTAATTAATTAAGTACGCACTGTAAGATATAAAGATGTTAGAGTACATAAAGAAAATAATCAATACTAATTAAAATTTCAAATTAAGTTTAAACTTTAAAGCCATCAACTTAAAGCTTAATGTCAAGACTATAAATTCTTAATTTGTCCTTGTTGAATCAAGGATGTTTCCTTGTATAAAATTCACTGTACATATACGCATGGATCATTACCTTATATGTTTTTCTCTCTAAGTCAATTGCGTTATTTTTAATAAAAGCAAAAGATTTAAATAACACATTACAGAGATAAAATCAAAGCTGTAGTGGTATCAAATTAAATTTTGTTTGTTATCCTATAGCCTATACTTCTGTCCATGGCGTAAAAATTCTGAGAAAAAATATTAATTTTATAAATAGATTTAATATCTGCATTAGTCAGGATGAGGTTTATTGTGTGGGAGGGTATAATTGAAATCGTTTATACCCGATACCTGGGACATAATTCACTGAGTCGTCTCGCGGACAGGGATTGTCCTGTTGTTTTCCTGTAGAATATTGATTTGATCCAATCTTTACAATCCACAATAGCTGTAAAAACTATCCCATCTCAACAATAGTCTTGATCATGTCTGTCTGGAAATTCTAGAAACTGTTGCATAACATTTATTAATAAGAGTATCCTTGACTATTTAATTATAATTTTAAAAAAACCTGTAATTGAAGACACGCTAAAACTTCTGTCAAGGAAAAAATGATAGTGTCATTTTATAATAGTTGTATAATGTGAGTAATGGTGTTAGAATGAGGTCTTAGTCTAGATACTTTTGATGAAAAATTACATCATTATAGTATTAGACAGTGCAATTTTCAAAGGAAAAGACCTTTTTATTTTGCTATTACGAAATGCATATTTACCTAAGTAAATTCATTGACTTTATCTTATTATTTAAACATATCAGCAAATATTTATTCTGCTTAAATTAGATTCTACACGTATTAAGCTAAATTGTCGAAATCAAAAGATATTTTCTTCTTCTTCAGATAACAAACAGAAAGATGTATCACAAACTACCACCTGGCCAAAGATTGCATGGTATTTTTTATATATAATATATTGCATCTGATGCAATAAATAATGCATATTTCAATGCATCACCGTGTTTTTGTAATAGAATTGAACAAATGCATATTCTTCAAATCTTTTATCATTCACGGAGGTAAGAAGGAATTGTGAATGAAATATATAGAGATAACAGTATTCAAGCTCAAAAATTCAAATACAAATCAGGAGTAGAGCAAAACATCAGAGGTAGGATCAGGTATCATAGAGGAGTAAGCATCCCCTGCCGAGTGGTCAAACCCACGTGTGCTCCTTGTCAAGATCGGGGGGAAAATCCGATTCAGTGTGTAGATAATGGACTTACAGTTACTAGTATTCTGAAAACGTCAGTCGCAATTTTGACTCAGTTATAGGTGGTATTTCCTGACAAGGTCAAATAAAGTATCGACCAAATAACTTGCCAAATGAAAACTTCAAACGAGACTATTGATATCCTTATTTCACCAACTTGTTTGTCAATAGCTCGTCTCGTTTTAGAAATTGACCATACGTAGAGTATCTCCTACGTATCGAATCAAATGAGAGACATAAACCCAATATGCATGTGAAATTGCTACACAAGTAAGGGAAGTTGACGATTAAGAAGTTGAAGTCATCACATTTAGTAAAAAGCTTGGCTCTTACGTCATCAATAACGTCCTTTTCTGGTAAAATATCCAAATATGAAACGGATGTGTCAGACTCTGTGGTATATTGTATTTCAATCCCCCTGGAATACGTGTATATCGAATCGAAAGATGAATGGAAGTAACTACTGTTAATTGGTAATACGTTATCGATAAATATACATGTCGAGTTGAAGGCCATGGCAAATGGTTTCCTCTTGTAAAAGTGTCTGAATAAATTCTACTTGTCAACCTGATAGATTTCATATTCACCTGTTCATTCGGTCAATTGCCTAGTTTTTTATTGCATAAATGTACAAAACTTGTAAATCATACCATGACCATGTAAAATAGTGCTTCAAAATAATGCTTTGAAAAAGAAAGACATGTAGTAAAAAATGAAAATAATTTCTTATGGCTTCAAAGCATGTTTAGGTCAGTGTAAAAAATATATCATCATTTTGAATTCATGTTACGTTTACTTTATTTCCTTTTAAACATTTTCTGTACATTTTATTTTTTTCAACTGCACTAATGATTTAGATATAACAGATTCTGATAATTATAAGCTGTTGATTGTTTTCTTTCAGCGTCCGACTGTGCAATCTGTTTATCTCCCAAGGAACCAACATCTTCCTCCCTAGTACAACTTAGCTGCAAACACGGTAATTTAGAAAGTCTTTTAAATTAAAAGTTTATTGACCTTTTTCTGAAAAATTAGATTTTGTTACATGAAAATATGACAAAACTAATATTCTGCCAACGTTTTTATTATATATGCTTATTCTTTAAAGCCTATACGTCCTCTTTCTTCTAATATGTTCCAAACAGAGAAAAAAGAAAAAAAAATTAAAAATTTAACACGATTTGTTTTACACTGCTATTTCAGATTATCATGAGAAGTGCATCAAGGAATGTTTTAAGAAGACGGGAGACAACCGCTGTCCTAAATGTAGAGCTATCCTCCGAGATGTTTCCACCCTGAAGTCAAACAGGTCTAGGTACCTCCCAGTTCTCCCGCTTCTCCTGGAAATTCGTGACAAAAGAGGTATCTGATGCCGCGATATTGGTAGACTTGTCAATGACAAATGGTTGTGTGATAGAGATAGGCCGTGATTCATGAATTCTTTGTTATTGCTTCGCGTATCTAAAGCAAGATACAAATGCTTTAACATGAATTTGTATTTAAATTTCAATGTTTGTCTCTCTTCTGAGAATTAATGTCTCTTATGAATGACTTCTTGTGAAATTGGTATATTCTATGAACTGTTGGGATCCTTATGGGTACTAATTATGTGCTTTTCTCATCTGACCTGATTTTATACTCCTAAAAATCCAAATGTTTTCAAAACTTTCTACATGAGAAGAAGAAAACACTATCAATGGCCTTCAACTCGACGTTCACAATCATATCGATAACGGTTTTTTTTGTTTTTTTTTTTGTTTTTTTTTTTTATTCACAACAGTTATTTCCATTCATATGACGACTCGATATATCCCAACTACAACACAGAGTCGGATGCATCTGTTTTATATTTGGATGGTATATTAACTATAGATAATAAAGACCAGCTAACAACATAACTGTATGACAAACGATTATGAAACAGAGTCAGTTTACTCACAAATAAATTGATGTTACAGGGATTTCAACTTTTCAAATGTCTGGAATAGTAATTAAAAAAACGGTCATTTGCATATGGTGTTTATGTGGTTTTAGATTTTTTATTAAAAAACACGCTATTAGTAAAACTTTTAATTGAATATCGATTTTGAAACAGAGACAGGCAATCACACATAAATTGTCATCATAGGGATTTCAACAATTTTTGGTAATTAAACTTTTCATTTCATTTCGACATTTTTTTGTTTCTATTTGAATTTTTTACATAGAGTACCTATAGTTATAAATTTGATAACTTTACGTGAAAAATTTAAAGTAATAAATCATCAATAAATCATTGAAATCCAATTTTGTATCTATAGGGAAAAAATAGTCCTATTTGGTAAATTGGAAAAAGTTTTATTCATTGAACTCTTTTACCTAAAAATATATATATATATGTATGGTTTTATCTTTTTTTATATAAAATTTAAATATACATGTTTTATCTTTTGTACAAAGTATGACAAGCAATCGGGAAACAAAAACTTTAAATGTACTGATAAGTGTCATCATATTTGTCACCCCTTAATTAAATGGCAGGGTATGCTCACTGCTCCTGTAAATCAAAATACAGTCAAAGAAACTTGTAATCTTTTCTGTGGAAGTAATGATAAGCCAACTTTTATGTGTCATAAAAATTTATTTAATGACAAAAATACAGCATATTCGGATTTTGGCCTTCATATTTAAAATGATTACATTAAAAAAAAAAAATACTGTTCCATTGATGAAGTAGAGTGAAAAAAGGTTAACGTATTTATGGTGTTAATGGTTTTTTTTTTTTATTTGATTAACAATTTATTTTTGTTTTCTCTTCAGATATGTCGTGGAAAGAATCATTTGTATAGCCTAGAGACTTACTGGATTTTAAGTTATGTCGGAAAATAATTAAAATAACATCAGAGAGAAAGACAAGAAAGCTGGCTAGAGCTTAAATATAGACAAGAACCAAGCCTAGATTTGAGTGGTTGTTTCGTACTTGGTTTTAGTTGTGTTGTCTTCACATACTACATGTATTTTGGATGAAGCGTGGCAGTTATTTACATATAGGAGCGTGTGTTGCAATGTATACCGGTATATTAACTTTCATGTATAATACTAGTACTAAGTATTAAGTACAAAGTGTTTGCATTGCTGCAGTATGTACTCTTTTGTTCCAAGAGAAACTTGGCCTTTGGATTTGTTTTATTATACCAATTGAAAAAATAGAACTTTCGTTAAAAAAATGCGGATCAAATAATATTCCCAGTTTTTTTTTTTTTATTTATTTATTTTGTTTTGTTTTGTTTTTTGTTGTTTTTTTTTTTTTTTTTGTCATGTTTGTCATATTTATAACTGAATTCATTTGTTTTATAAATAACATGATTCACCTAAAGTAAAAAAAAACAGATTTAGCAATTTTAAAAAAAATACACACTAATTTTTTGATTTGAAAGTGAAGATACGTATTTTTGCATTCAACAACTAATTGCTTAGATTACTGACATTCACTGACTACTATTGCCGCATCATATATATGTACTTGCAAAAATGCAAGATATGCGAATAAGTAAATGTTTTCGTCATCTCTAAAACAAGATACGTCAAGTGCTATGGAAAACTCAGTAACATTTAATTTACAGTAGTAGTCTTACTCATTCTTAAAAGCTATGTCAATATAGAACACGGTTTTTCCTCCGTCTAAAAATAAATATTATTTGCAAACCTTGAACCTTGCAGTTGTGATATTTGATGCATGGCATTGAAAATGAATATCAATCTTCAATTCATACGATTAAACATATATTTATTTCTTTATTATATACAATTCCATTCCGCCCTATTTATAAGCAAACACTTGACAATGTACTAGTACCTTTTCAACGCCGTAGGAGATCAAGTTTTAAAGGATTTTCAATGTTTACAATGTCATTTTAAAACATTTTAAATTAATGACTAATAAGGTTGGATTATTGTTATTTTACTACACAGATATTCTAGAAGTGGTGTAAATCATTTTAAAGGGGCATGGACACAGTTTCAGCTAAAATTTCAAAATTTATTTTTCAATTTTTACAAATATTTAACTGGGGTCTTTCTAATGATCATCCAACATTTGAACGCCAGTTGTCCAGACACAAGACAGATTTAGAGCTCCAAACCATTGTTTATATGTAAACAAGGCTAGTGTCATGTTTTTGTTTACACAGGTTAATATACTAATATATGTTCGTTCAAAGTAGATAGTTTCAAATAAAAGTTAATTTCAAATACGATTCGACAGTAACTATTGATTTGCTGAACTTCATTTTGTAATAAATATATTATTTTCTATATGTAAACAAAAACAAGACACGAGCCTTGTTTACATTATGAAGAACTTTTAAGTTCTTTATCTTGTTTGTTAATCAACAAATGATGTTCAAATTTTTGTTAATCAATAGATGATGCCTTAGGTAGGAATTGTAAACATTAAAATTGGTTTTTAAAAAATCAGTTGAAACTGTGTCCAGGCCCCTTTAAGGTTCTCAGGAAATCCACTGAATCCTTAAAAAATTTAAAATCAGTAAATTTAACAAAAATAAGTAACATCCAAATATACGCTCTTCCGAAATTCATATCTACAGCCCTTTCTCACGATAAATGAAAACCTACTCTTTTGATTTCATAGACAGCTTGTTTTCCCCAAAATATTTTATCATCAACTACTTGTTGAAAATCACTCTATTTATTTAAACAAGTACGTACTCTGAAGCTGATATTTGTATCAAAAGGGTGGATGCTGGGGTTCCTTATGCCAACATTTACATACCCCGGTAGTTTTCGGAGACAAGATCTTCCAACAAACTGTTCGACCAAACGCTCATGGGCATTAATTTTGCTCTTAAATCTACTAACTGACTTGTTTTTATATTCCAGTGAAGAAGAACTTATTCAAAAACTTTTACATGAGAAGAAGAAAACACTCGTTGTGGCCTTCAAACCAACTTTTAAATGTATTGACGATGTTTTATAAAATTAACAAAAATTACTTCCATTCATATGTCAGTATGCCTGTGAAATTGAATTAAAATTAAGACGTACATCACAGAGTCATCCACATCTGTTCCATATTTGCAGTTTCATTGACCAGAGACGATAAGGAACAACTAAGGTTGGTATATGACAAACGGGATGTATCTGCTTTCCCATCCTCAACTTTCTTTCTCAATGAAGTACTAGTAGTAACATTTTGCTATCACCTGCACCTGGTGTTAACGTCTTCTAACTATTCGATACTCAGGAGCATGCATGCACTGAGTACAATCATTTTTTAAACCGCCAATAGCTAATGACAAAATAAGCTTTAATGTTGCTGTGATTTCAATTACCTCCTTAAAATAGGTGATGCTTACTCCTCCCCTTTTTTCTGGGGATTAGTATTTAAGCCTTGTTCAAAAATTTGCTTCTAGATGTTTTTCTGTCTTCTTTGCTATATCTATCTTTTTGACCATTATGGTAACTCATTCATAGAGCGCTCACTATGATCGAAACGTCGTGGGTTCGAACCTAAGTCGCGGGTGACCTAGGTCGATTAAAGATAAGTAGCACATGTTCCTTTGCCAAGCGCTCGGCACATTGAAATGAAAGTTGCGGGTCCTTTGGACGCGAGACTTTAGAAACCGAGCTCTTGTGACACAACACGCGGTGGCACAATAAATCTTTAAGTGCCGAGTAAAGTTACTTGCACTCCAAACATGATAGACAAAAATCAAATTGATCACATGATAAATGGAACTTAGAGACAACAATAACTGGATGTAAGAGTGAAGAGAGTGGCTGATTTTGATATCCTTCACCACAGAAAAACAGCGTCTATCAGACTTAAACTGTGTAGCACAGTTGGAAAGAACATGGAAAGAACTTTAAGAAAGGATAGTGTCTATAGAACGTGGATGATGGTAGGCTCGAACAGGAAGAGATGCCAAAAAGAAAGTAAACGAGGCAAAAATCTCTGAGACTCGAAGAGAGATCAATGAAATACAGAAGGAAGTGAAAAGGCTCGATCTAATGGATTCCGAAACTTCACAAAAATCCTTACAAATATATATAGCGGTTTCCAGTATAAATGTTCAACCAAGTCTCTTTCTTTACTCCTCACTAAAATATTACCATTACACGCTGAGTTTGGACTTTCAGTAAGGCGTGGCATTCTCGACGTTACCTAATTAGCTTCTGAAATTTACATGTGCTTCCCATCACTGTTGAAATATACATATGATAGAAATGCGGCCGAATGTCAACTGGTGTAGTAAATAGCCAATTAAAAGTTCTCTCACGGCACAGAGGTGGGGCAAATTCTCATCTTTATCAACAACAATTTTAAGTTCCTGATGTTATTAATTTCGTAACCAATGAGAATCTACTAGTATTCGCTATTACGTAGCGCCGAGAAAGTCACGCCTACTGAAAGTCCAAAGTAAGGGTAAAATCCTCCTATTTACGGTAGTATAGGAAAAAACTTCAGGAGTACTGTACAACTATATATTCGAGAAGTGGTGTAAATCAGATGTGGATTCTTAAAAATTCCAAGGAACTTTTGGAAACTTTTAAATCGCAAGATTTTATCAAAATCAACAGCATAAACATTGACTTATGTCTTTTCAATTTCATATACAATCATTATTCACGATAAATTGAAGTCGAGGCTTTTTGATATCATTGACAGCTTTTTTTTATAACAATAAAGGAACTCGTAGATTTACTTAGGCCTACCTTGTTATTGGTCATTTGCAAAATTATTTTGTTACAATGAAGCGCATTGAAGTGGTAAAATTTTCCGTTCGAATGGAACGTTTTGAGCTATCTTTAGAACGTTTATTGTCATCTTAGACACGGTAGAAATGGATAAAACGGTCGATTTGTTTATTAGAATACCTGTCAAAGGTTTTCCATAAATATAATAGCCAATGAAATTGACGGTCTAAATAAATTAAACACGTGTTCACCGAAACATGTGTTGTGGTAACTTCAATAGACATGATAAGTTCAAAAATATGTACATATTCGTTGTAATTTGTGATTTACAGAAGCGGAGAGTCTCTAACTCTCTCTTCTGATTTTTTTAAAGCTCCATTTCAGTGTAACTCATATTGCTTTTTATAACATTAAGAATATTTCTTTCTCGTTTCTAAAGAAATGGGCGTGTCATTATGTTGTAATTGACGTTCAAAACATGACTCAGAACGTTTCATACAAACGGAAAATTTTACCACTTCAATGCGCTTCATTGTAAAAACATTCTGATTGTAAACACAAGTACACTGAAGTTGATATTAAAAATACGTTTGATTTTTGATTGACATTTAGTTGCAGAACTGTAGCGTTATGGTTTTAAATATATTTTGTCTCTGACCATTACGATACAGATCCCATAATGCAAAAATTGTCCAATTAACGGCGCAAGATTTTATTGCGCACGGTTGGAAAGAATTTTTCCACTTTCCAGCATTGGTCAATCAACTTTTTTCACTTCGAAGTTATAGACATATTTTTAAAAACCTGTATATTTTATCCACCTTTAACCCTTTCTATTCATCTCTAAATACCAATAAAATTACTTGCATAGAATTTTCTACCCTTCGACAACAAATCACAACAATTAAGCGAGTTTACTGGTCCAAAGATACGACTATAAACGGTTGGGAGGTAGTTAAATATGCAGGTTAGTTAAAAATGTATCTAAAATCATAAAGTGAAAGGTAGTTGGTTAAAAAATTAAAAATGCTGGAAAGTGGAGACATTCTCATGATCATCTGTGCGCAAAAAATTTTGCACAATTTTTGCATTACGGGATCTGTAGCATTATGGTCAAAGACAAACATAAAACCATTATGCTACACTTTTGCAGCTTATTGACAATAACTATATGGTTTTTGGAGACCAGGTCTTCCAACCATCTATTGGAATTCCCATGGGCACCAATTTTTTGCCCCGTTATTAGCAGACCTATTTTTTGAATTTGTTCAAAATCATATATGTGAAAGAACAAAACACCTGCTGTGACCTTAATTCAACTCGACATTTAGATAAATCGACGACGTCTTGTCATTTAACAATGGTTATTTCCATTCTTATGTCGATACGATATACTAGTATCCCGGTGGACTTGAAATAAAAGATACCACAGAGTCTGATACATCTGTTTCAGTTTATTAAGATATTGTACTTGAAAAAGACGTTAATGGTAATCTAACAACCAAGCTTTATGATAAACGAGATGACTTGAACTTTTCAATCGCAAGCTTTCCTTACTTATGAAGCTCTATACCTTCATCACCTGTACACAGGGTTTATGTCTCTCAGATCAGTTGATTCGATACGCAAGAGCTTGCTCCACATATGAACAATTTCTAAAACGAGGTAAATTATTGACGAACAAGTTGATGAAACAAAATTTCAGCTGTCTCGTTTAAAGTCATCATTTCATAAGTTCTATGTCGATTCAATGAGCTTGTCAGCAAATACAATTTATCATTAAGTCAAATGCTGACTGACGTGTTTTTATATTGATTGTTAGGGCTAAGGCCATTATATTCACGATGAATTGTCGACGGATTTTCTAGTTATTTCTCAATCAACGAGCACACGGTGGGTGTCACTGGTCGGCAGGGGATGCTCACTCCTCCATGGCACCTCAACCTCTCTGATTTTTTTAGGTCCGTGTTTGCTCTGCTCGTATTTTGTATTGTTTCAACATCTGATGTAATAAGAGGTATCAAATGGAGAATATTTACTACATTTGAAGACCTGGACTTCATTAATGATATTACCTTATTCTCTCACTCCCACCAGCATATCCAAGACAACATTAGTAGGCTCCATAATATAAAGGCTTAGGCTGGTACCATTTTATATATATTATGAATTCTGTGGAAGATTACGCCAGGCGATGGGCCAAACATGTAATTTTAAAAGACCTTGAAACTTTGTCGGACAGAATTAAAAGTATTAGATGGATGTTGAAATCTCGTTGAGCGACTAGGGGAAATGAAAAGCATCTATACTTTCTGTTCTCAATAATTCAGAAGTGTAAAATATCAGTACGTTTTGATCCCAATTGACAAAGTATTGAACAACACTGTCTTTGTAAGGCTTATTATTTTACCTGTATTTAGAGGAGCTGGATTTAATTCTGCAAATGGTAATCCAACTTATACCTACAGTTTCCTTTCTTAGGATGAAATTTTTCAAAATAATTTTCAGGTTTTTTTTTTCGCATGACGAAGTAGTTAAAGCTTTTGCTCTAGAGTCGCGGAGTGGGTATATTTTATTTGCATGTAAAAATTGTAACATACGAGATGGTGATTTTAATGTGGAAATAGCATTGGAGTAAACTTTATCCCGACAGATACATAAATGCTTAGTTCTGTTCCGCTTGTTTTAAAATGTAAATTTTTATTTTAAGGTCAGACGAGACGTTCCTCAAAATCTGTTTTGTATATTTTCGTAATGTATGAAAAATATTCAAAATTTTAATTTTAAAATGTAAATTTTTAAAAAAAGCCAAACTTAAACATTTGAAATTTTAAATGTTTAATTTGCCCATCAAAGCCATGGTCAAACATATTCTAATTACATGTATATGAAAACTCTTTTCTTGAAAATGTTTTTCTCCAATTATTCATATATATAGCTACCTTTTTTTCTTGTTTTGCATTATGCACAGTACTAGTACTCAAATGTAGAGTTCTGTATGCAAAGTATGTTAGCACGTTGCATTATAACTCCAGGAAATTATGTCATATATGGAAGAATTCTAATAAATATTTGACATTCTGAAATCTAGACGAGGCCCAATTCATGAGTGGTCCCAGAATGAAGCAGCATCCGTACCTTAAGTTTCAGTTCAAGCATTCCACGACTAATCATGCAGAATGTTTTGAAAGCTTTAAAGCCGTAAGAACACATGCAATAACAGTTTCACCTTCATAACGACTATGGCCCTCTCCACATGAAGACAATCTGTGGCTTTAATGGCAATGTGTACACACAGGTGACGTGCTATCCACATTTTTACCGTAGCTTGATGATGCACCCTTTTTGTATAGAATGGCTTGAATGGTGAATATCTGTTTTCATCATCTAACTATGGATCCTACACATTTGTATTTTGAACACGAGTCTGTATCTTATACTAAAATGTAAAAGACTCTAAGATTTTAAAGATTTTCTTTGTTTTTATTTTGTTTTCATGAAGAAGCCATCATACATACCACTGAAGTAGTTTGATCTTAAGCTAAAAATCCAATCACTTTGGTACACCAGAAATAACATTACTAGAATTGAAAACTAAATGGAAAATAAGTAAAGAAAAAAATGCAACAGATTTAATTCTCTTGGAATAAAAAGAATTCCTGACTAATTGATGATTATTGATCAAGTAATCAACTTGTCACATAAACATGTTTTCTGATAAAGTCAACAAACAAAATGTGTTTCAATACCACTTTCAAAGAAATTCAAAAAATTGTAGGTTTTCCATGATTTGACAAGATCAAGAAGGACAACTCTTCTGCAACATGATTTTAAAAAGGCAGTGATGATTTAAATGTAACCCTAGAAAAAAATGCTTTTAAAAAATAAAGAAAAGGATTTTGAAAATTCTTTTGAAACACTTATTTGATTCTTATTACTCAGCACTGAAATGGGACAATTTTTATGGAATGTAAGTTATCTAATACATGGCAGATGTGCTTACATCATTGACAGTGAACATTGCAATATTCTGTTGAATGATTGGTCATAAAAATGTTTTTATCATAGCACTATGAGGCCAACTTGTTCATTTAATTCTTCAATAAAAAAGAATCTGTACACGATTATAATACAAAAAAAATCTGTGTGCTACAAAATAACTCATATATATACAAGAGGAGCAACAAAGAGGTGGTTGTTATGAATGACATGTCCGTTAATGAGATTTTTTTGAAACTTTTTTCCTTAGAGTAAACCCCAATACAGCAAAAAATTCTGTTATCTTGTCAAGAGATAACCCTGTCCTTAAGAAAAAAATAAACAGATCTTGCACAATTGATAAAATATTCAACCAAACAATTTGTATCGATATATACACACAACCAACAAATATTAAGTATGGGTACAAAAAAGTTCCAACAGTTGTATCTAACTCCAAGGCAAGATGGGTTAAATTCTGTGACTTTAAATGAATTAGTGAACCTTAATTACTTCATACATTCAGATATCTTAAACACACTTTGACAATGCGTAACGAAGGTGTTTTTCTTTAATAGCACTACCGAATTTGAATTATCCATCATAAGTGATTTAAACATATATCACACTTGAACTCTGGACAATATCAAAGGACAAAAGAAACAAGAAAACGTAACAATCTATCATCTACATTGAAATCTAACAATTTACTCTTCATGATCTTTTTCTGAATAATTAACTTTTTATCACCTACGACCGAGTCGAACTAAATTTTTGTCCCCCAATTTATCACTATTTGCTACAGTCCACTCCGGATCGTTGGGATCCTCACTAGTGTGTGACCCCGCGGAGCTGTTAGGAGACTCTGGTACACTGACCTGAGTCTCCACCGCATCATACGTTGTTCCTTCACTAACACTGGTCTCCTCCTCCAGACCATCGATTGAGTTGCTTGAGATTTTATTCCGGGTAAAGTAGGTACACGTCTCTACTTCAGGTTGCGAGACACTCACCTTCATTTCTTCATACTCTTCCTCAGAGAGTGGGAAAGACCTGACAGGCCAGGGTTCCACCAACTCTCCGTCATCATAGTCCATACTCATATCATCCGTGCCTACACTGACACTGTTCCTCCTCAAGGATGCAGAACTACTCCGCCGTCGGAACACTTCCTCTCTCAGTGAGGCAGCTAAGTTTGTGTGGCTGCCTCCACTCGAGGACAGAGTGTGGCTCCTACGTCGAGAATCGTCATCGATTTTCTGTGCACTGTCATTACCTTCATTGATGAGGCCCACCTCTGTAGATGCAGTGTCAGGAGTTAATGGTCCTGAATCATTTCTTGATCCTCGACTGCGACGACTGGGATACTTTATGAAAGACTGGAAACGCTTCCTCTCTTGGATTTCACATATATCATGCATTGCAGCAAAGAATTCATCTGATGTATTCTCAGTCTACAAAATAAAATACATGAATGTGTGAATTTTCCTTGCAGAGAGATCACTTCATATCACAATATAATAAACATACACGATACAGCATCCCCTTTTATCCAGGTTTGTAGCAGCAGCCTGTATTTGACCTTTGACTTCTATATATGACTGTCCTAATATAAAGCCTTGACCATGACCACTATGACATTAAGCCCTGTGCAGTTTAAAAAGTTCTGGGACAGTGGTGAAAACACAGAAATACTATCAGGCAGATCAATGTAAAATGTCCTGACCTTTTGTGTATAAAAAATGTCCTATGGGGTTAAAAATCAAGTCTCATGCAAGCACTCTAATTACTGAACTATTGAGACCCAGATATACTGACTGACTTTCAAGCACTGGTGAACCTGGTGACAAATATTTATTTTACCTCATCTGTGACCTCCTTGTTAGGATCTTCTGCTGTATTGTCCGTTTCTTCAAAATTCTCTGTAATATCTCGCCACCTGAAAAAAATTGATTACTTTAGTATGATAACCTATTTGTCCTACTGCCTTACATCAGTGAGATGTTTTCTAATCCATTTTTAAAATATCTAACAACTTGACAGCACACTTCAATGAAATCTGTACTACTGATAGAGTATAAAATAATTTATCTTGTACCAAAAACAAGTGGTTGCAATGTCAATATCATCTTTCCATATGTGAAACAATTTATATGCCAGTAACTTAATATGGAATTAGCAAACAGGCAAAAAACAACAGTCAACATACTTGGGTGTTACAATTTCCTTGTACTCTAATTTGACCACTCGTGTTGCTGAGGCAATGCTATATGGTATGACAATGTTGTCAATATCATATGCACTCTCTAAGCGTCTCTTTCTCATGGTAGCATCCTTCAGTTCCTTGAAATTCCCTGAAGCCCCGCTAGAAGACAGGAGGGTATCACGACCACAGTTTGCATATTCATCCTCATCATCATAGTCAGAAGGCCCAGACAAATGTCCATCATCCATACTGTCTTGTTTCAGGGCTGTGTTTAAATAATAAATATATGTCACTGTGCATTTGATCAAGAATTCTTATACATCTCTTCTTGCAAAAATATGCTTAAAAACATTAAATAAAACATTGGCCACTAAGACCTTTGCTCTCTTGTAATACCTATTGTAGCCCCACCCTCCCCAACGGGTTAGGACCTTCATTATTTAGAATCTACACTATCTGAGTATGCTTCCACATAAGTTTCAGTATATCTGGCCCTTTGGTTTTGAGAGAAAGATTTTTAAATAAAGAGATTTTTCCTATATATTTCAATGTAAAACTTGGATTCCCTATTGTGACCCTGCCCTAGGGTCATAATTTGTACAATTTATATACTACTCCAAGATACTTTCATACAAGTTTCACCTTTTCTGGCCCAGTGGTTCGTGAGAAGAAAATTTGAAAGATTTTTGCTATATATTTTAGTTTTATGAACTTTGATTCCCTATTGACATTTGATCATTTGATCAATCTTCAAAATAGTCTATTACCAATTGAAAGACTGTCATTTATTCTTCTCTTTCTGAGATCCGAGACTTTCCTGGTGGACTTCAGACTTGGTCTGCCTTTGGTGGGAGTTCTCCTCTCATATTTGTTCCGCAGCTCTGAAAATAAATCAGATATGCTATAGTATAAAGTTCATACATCTTTAAAAATTTCTCCAAACATTTTTTTAAATATGTACATAGTTTAATAACAGTAATGGTTACAATTTTTCATAATTCAGTTGTGTGCCTTAATCAATTCCACTACTACTAATTTTATTATCCAATGCTCCATATTTTTTAGATTTCAGCATCTATTACTCTTAAACTGCTAACTTCGTAAAACAAAAACATTACAAGTATGTATTACATGCATATGAACCATTCATTCTGCAAGAACAATTATGAATAGGGACAGATTTGATTCTGGAATGAGCTGCATGCAACACACAGATAAAATTTATAGATCTGATGATCAATCGGCTAGTGCTGTGCGATATTACCGGTTAACCGGTGTATCCCGATTTTGTTCTTCACAATACGTATCGTGGTATTTTTTTGTGAATACTGGTTCGGGTTCGACATGCTATAAATTGTTACAATCAAAGGCCTGAAGGGCCTGCGAGTTGACTCGCTCGAGTCAATTGAGCTTTTTAATACATCTGGGCACCATACCTTAATATATTTAGTTTATTTTGCATCTTAAGAGATTGAATATTATATGTCTGATCCATGTTCGGTTCATAAATAAAGTGTATATTGCTTTTCCTTTATATATACAGGTTGGCACTCATGGGCTTCCGTATTATTTTGACTGGATTCTATAATGAATTTAAGCACATTAGCTGAAGTGGTCAGTGTTATGAAGTAACTAGGTTAAAGATTCCCACAGCAAATCTGGATTCTAAAAATAGATTTTCAACAACAACTAGCTGCAGCTAATGAGAACAGCAGGTGTTTGTGAGAGGGAGTATTCTAGGTCAATTATAAATAAACTTCAGATGGGCAGATTAGATCCTCCTAACATGCTTGAACATATATTCATACGCAGTAATTGTACATCTTACAGGTATTTAATCAAAAATTTCTTTAAATGCATGAAGGCATAAATAATGTTACAGTATGAAATTTTATACAGTTTTTACCTCTTAAGTTTATACAATCACTCAAACCAAAGCATTTTTTGCTAGAACTATAATATTTGGCGTATGGATCACCTTGATGAATGCGTGATAAATTTTACAGCTCTGAAACGGCTATGTCGACAGGGAGTAGCTCGCTACGCGAGCCAACTCAAAAAGAGTTATTTGCCCTTTTCAAGGTAAAATAATGGCGGCAAGCAACGTGAAGTGTGATCAGAAACCAGAGACATGTCCCTTTCAAAAACGAAACAACAACAATTGTTATATGAAACCCCTCTTCATGTTAAAGCTAAATCTGAGTATTACAACTTAATTGAATTCAACAAGTTGTGCCACAAAAAACTTATCTTGCCACTTGCGCCGACATAACGCGATCAGGCAATTGGAATATCAACTCGAGAATACATGTAATTTGAGTTTGTGTTTTCATTTAACCTTGACGAAAAAGCAAAAAATTATTAAATATTTATATCGTGATATATTGCAATACAAAATCTAATATTGCAATATATCGCGATACGTTTTTTTAGTCGCGATACCCAGCACTACAATCGGCATTGACCATCAACATCAGCAGCTTTATCACACCACTTATCCATGTTATAAGATCACTGGTACATCATTACAAACAAATCAAATATTCCATCTGCAAAATCATAGTATTATAAATGCCTGAACATTTTACTCTAAATCCAATTCTATTCGGACTTATTCTAAATATCCTTAAAATCAATCTTCTCATCTTTTATACATGCCTGGTGTCATCTTGGAAACCCTGTAAAAAGAGACTTACTTGCTGAAGCCAGTAATGCCGTAGCTGCACCCTTTGCATATTTTGTCTGCTTTCTAACTTTTCCTCGCACAGAAGGTACCAACAGCTTTTGTCGTCTACAAGTTTAACATATAGCAACATTATCAACTGATAAATACACAATTTTCATTGCCTTCCTCTTTGCGCTCTCACTCTAATTTAGCTATTACTGAATTTAGAACAGAGTATCAGTATTATTTCAGTAAAGCTAGCCAATCACTTACTTTCTGTCAGTAGACAGGAGTTTTGTAGCTTTCGGTGGTGGTTTGTTTTGCCAGTCTCCACTCTTCAGCAAAGCCTCAAAGTGAATCGTCAGTGGAATTTCTGCAGGGAATAAAAGGTCAAAGATTTTTAGATCAAACTGTTTTCATTCAATTTCACAGGCATGGAGAAACAATGAAAACCACATAAGAATATTGCTTCAGCTGTACTATATATTGTGACTTGGAAATGTCTACATTTTCTTTTCAAGATACATTTTTTAGCTGATGAAATTCTGAAGGTAATATGTACCATATATAGTTCTTGTTCATGTGTTTCTTAGATGTGAACATCCACAGTACATTTAGTAAATGAGAAACATTTATAAAACTTAATCTAGAACAGTACGAGACCAATCATGCCATCCCTTGTATTTTCTGAAAATTGGTTATGGCCCAAAAATCTTTACGTATTTAGAATCCAGCTTAGCAGAGGGGTTATTATCATCATACCAGTTGTCTTAAATTTCCTAGGTATTAAACGGAAAATTATTAATTACAGGTTTGTATTGATCTAAAACAAATATGCTTTTCGTATTGATCTAAAACAAATAATATGCTTGCGTAGATACCAGGGTTAATGTGAGAGACAATATCTAGAGTAAAACAATGAAATCTTCTCCATTGCTTTGCTTTAGACAAAGGCTGTCACATGATCTAAATCTCAATCAGATTTTTTCCCAACTTATTTGTCTGCATATTAATATGTTTATGAAACAAAACTGAAATTATTCAACTATAATATTACCTTCATTGAAAGACAAAACTGGGTGATAGGATGGATCAAGAAGGGACACTCTCTCATTAACCGGCATGGTGTCAGCGTCCACAGTCTGTGAATTATTGTATCGCCCCCCACACATGGGACACGAAGAGAAAGGCGGAGAACAGTGACACTTCACCGTGGACAGGCGCGCGGCCTTACGAGAGACCTGATGCAGGCCAGAAGTCCGTAACAATTTCCTCTTCCTATAACTACGCACAGGCCGGCATCTGGCAGCCTGACAGGTAGCGTCCAGAAGGACTGAAGGTGGAGACTGTTCCACAGACGACGTGTCACCGGAAGGACCCGGTAACACCGACACATTTTCTTCCGTTGTAGAGGATGGATGCGTGGAATTGACAACACCATTCAAATTACCTTGTCCGTCTTTTAATTTGTTATCTGTCAATAAGTTAGACTGAATAGGTGTTAAACAGTTTCCTAATGATTGTGTTAATTTTGTTGCTTGACGATTAACATTGGTCATAACAGCAGCTATATTGCAGGGGGATCCTGATACATTCTTTGCATCAAAATCGGCAATTTTGGTTTCTATAGGTGATAATAGTTTTCCATTTGCCCTAGCCTGCCTGAGGCGTGCACCTAGCTCCTCCAATGAAGGAGGTTCACCCAAAACAACGCTGCCTTTATTATGCCTAATTTGTTTGTGAATATCACTTTGTTGACGTATTCGGTATTCCAAATCGGAGACTTGAGCTTGTAACCATGTCCATCGACACGCCACTGCTGCCCTATCTGATGCCCACTTCCACTCCGCCCGACGATGCCTGCAAAATTTAATGTTTGAAGTATTATTTGGATCATGATTTGACACTCAATTTTAACTAGTCTATTCATTTTCAATTTAAAGACAAATCATACAAGTTTATGTCTCGAAATATTAATTCAGTTCAATATATCAAAGTTTCAAAGCCCTTTCTCACGAAAGAAATATTACAAAAAAGACAACTTCGTACTTTCTCTGTTTCAAAATACATTATGGTTCATATATACCATTAAGAATTTTTGTGACCTACTAAATCTTAGATGTTCCCATTTTGCAGACTTGTATAGCTTATAGATTTTTCGGAAATTAATCACCGTTTCAAATCTTCACCAGTTTTTATGTACTTGTTGAGAACTGAAATTTTTTTGGTCTCCTTTTTCATATTTTGAGAAAAAGGTCCAGACCACAAGTGGTGTCATCAACATGATATAGGCACTGTCTACTTGGTTAATAAATATGTCATTCCTTAAATAACCTTTTCTAGCACATTAACCTTTAAATAATTCATAGTCATCATGTTCATGTTTTACAGGTTTCTTTTTTATGTCCTTTAATGTTAAAGAAATTCTGAGGAACTATAAAAACACACCTCGTTGTTCTAAAAACGGAAGGAAGTAAATGAGGTAAAAGAAAGAAACAAGTGACGCTTTGTATTTATTTGATGACTCAAGGTATCAATTACTTTCCTAGGTAAGTCCTCAAGGTAGACTGGCAACTCACACGGATCAATAACAACGTATATAATATATAGATACATAATGTTGACTCCTAATGTGCTGATCAATAAGTATTGATTTCAGGCACCAAATGAAGAATTCCACCACCTTCCAACCCTCCATAGATAAGATACATACTGATGCATATAAATGACATAGTATCAGACTCGCATGCAAGTGAATTGTCATTTTCCCCCTAAGCAAGTACATCACTTACTTTAAATAATTACATTTCAAATATCCTACCACTAACTTACACAATCATGACTATGCAATAATCATCTTCTTCATCCTATCTAAGCTTTGCATAGCTGCAACTTTCTTCCAAGACTTACTGTTCATTTTCATGAGTACAGTATATTCAAATATATAATCATTATAAATTACTAAATGTTTACTGCTAATAATATTTACTATACTTTAAAATGCAGAATGATTAGTATTATTGATTTTTTTTTGTTTTGACAATAAATTTCTTATTATTTAAATCCGAATTTATGCCCCATACTTTTTTAAATAAAATGATATTGCTTTTCTGAAGAATGCCTTTTTGATGAAGGACAGATTTTCATTTCTATTTACTTTAGCAAAGAATGTATATTAACCATATAAGTGTACATCATATATTCTTCTAAAACTATACATACTTTGTTTTAGCTGAGAAACCCAGAAGTGACTTAAATTCAATACTGCAATGAAGCAAATGAGGACAGGTGCCTTATATTTATGTTTTATTTTGTATATACTCTGGTTTAATGCTGGTATGGTTAACCTCAGAAATGAATAGACTATTATTGATTTTAGAAAATCCAGTTGTACTACAAACATTTTTCTGTTTATGGAGAAAAAAATTCTGAAGAAATTAAAAAGATTTTTTTATTGTGTTTTTCTCATTTTTGTATTTCATTCCAATTAAATCAGATTCTGGAAAAACACCTTAAAAATCAGTCTTTAATAATAATTGCATCAAATTAAATGATAACACAGATTATTCAGCAAACCTATTTACATGGGTTTCATGTTATGTGTGAATCATATGTAGCACAGCAAAACTGACAGAAAATGAAATTGTAATGTAATTAACTTTTTTTTAACTTTGACATTATCCATGGGATTTCCCAAAGTTCTATAAATAGCTCAAGGCTAAGTGGATTAAATCTGTGCTTCATGGTATCAAAATCAACCTTTATTTTTCTAACACACCATTTCAGCTACCTGTCCATTGTTAATTTCTTCACAAGGAGTAAGATCAGTCCTTTGACTAAAATCCTAAGGGCAAAACTAAGAAAGAGACCGTCTCAAAACCTATTTATACTACATCATAGAAAACCTATTTTCTTAGGGATATTAATTCCATGCTGTTTTCCTGAGCCAACTTCCCATTCTAAGCCATTTTAGGTTTAAAAACCCAAAAGCTTCAACAGGATTTATTGCTGGAGATCAATATTACTGAAGCTAAAAAATCAAAAACTACTCAATAAGCAATTCCTCAAAAAAATTACAATGAAGCGCATTGAAGTGGTAAAATTTTCCGTTCGAATGGAACGTTTTGAGCTATCTTTAGAACGTTTATTGTCATCTTATGACACGCCCATTTCTTTAGAAATGGATAACACGGTCAAATTGTTTCTTCAAATACCTGTAGAACAGGTTTTCCATAAATATAATAGCCAATGAAATTGACGGTCTAAATAAATACCGAGTAAACACGTGTTCGACCGAAACATGTGTTGTGGTAACTTCAATAGACACGATAAGTTCAAAAATATGTACATATTCCTTGCAATTTGTGTTTTACAGAAGCGGAGAGTCTCTAACTCTCTCTTCTAATTTTTTTTAAAGCTCCATTTCAGTGTAACTCATATTGCTTGTCGCGAAGAATGGGTGTCCTAAAACATTACGACGAATATTTCTTTCTCGTTTCTAAAGAAATGGGCGTGTCATTAAGTTGTAACTGACGTTCAAAACATGACTCAGAACGTTTCATCCAAACGGAAAATTTTACCACTTCAATGCGCTTCATTGTAAGATACCAGCATACCATGACTATTATCATCTTAGTATTATTTCCAAGACTTTGAAACTAACATCTTGAACGTCAAACACATAGACACACAAAAAAATCACAGATAGTCATAAAATCCTAGTGCAGTAGATTTAACACATGAAGTAGATATTAACACTCTATTATTTGCACACTTACAATGGTGGTGGAGGGATTTTTCTTTCTCTTTCATACTCATCATCTTCATCACAGCTTTCCCCTCCAGAACTACTTTCTGTGGCGTCTGAGTCCAAAGTGTCCAGAATGTGATTCAGGTTGGTTTGGAGTTGCCCCGACACACGGTTGGCTTCTTTGCAGATTTGTCCGTCTATCACCAACACACTTTGAGATGGCTTTTCCTCCTTAGCTTTTTTCTGTGTGGCGATGCGCTTGTTCAGCGCAGCCTGATTTTGTGTGGACTGAATTCTTCTCACCAAATTCACAAGGGCTGCAGTGGACAAACTCTTCACATCTTCACTTTTCAAAAGTTCTGCTTTAAGTTCTGAATTTGGACCGGATATTCCCATTGATCTATGTGCTACAGACTGGAGATTGCGATGAAGGAAGCTGACGTAACTCCCGGTTTGATTTCTAATGTGCGTCTCCAGCTGACGTCCTTGTAATCGACGTAATCTTTTCAGAAGTCTGTCTGCTCGTCTTTCCAAAACATGTTGCTTTTCACTAACCTCCTCACTTAGTTCTTTTTCAGACTTTATGGGATCAGTCTCTTCGTTTTCAATGTCAACAAATTCAGTGTCAATATCTGCACCATCACACACGTCATCACGAGCGACCTCTGTTCCAGAATTAACCGACGTCACCATGTCTGGTACAGAACTGACTGTATATGTTTGTTCTGGGTCTCCATTTTGCAAAGTATGGTTTACCGGATTGTGATCACCATTTAGATTTGTCAGTGTATTTAATTCAATGGACTTTTTCAGTTCACTTGCTGTTTTTAAACCATTCTCCTTCGGCATTCCATTCACAGATTCCAAGGGCTGGTTCATTTTCTGGTCACCAGAATGTTCGTTATTTTGCACCACCCCCAACTGCGGCCCAGGGTTTTTGTTCCTATTTGCACCTTTCTGAATAATTTTGATTTGCTTTATCTTTGAATTAAGTCCAACTGTTTTAAGAATACTGTTCTCAATTTGTTTCAAATTTAAAACAGAATTCAGAGTAACTTTACAGTTTGGTGTCCCTTTATGAATGGCAATGCTGTCTTTGTGCACCACCTCTACAGGTTTTCCTAAAGGCAGGCTCGAGGATGGGTCCAAGACTTTTATTTTTAATTTGGTCTGGGTCGCCACTGGATCAGTGAGTGCAGGCGCCATTGCAACAAGACAGCATACTCTTAGGGAAAGTGGAGCAGACATGCACTGTTAAAAGTCAGTATTTTTGAGAATTCTTTAAATAGAGGTGAACTAATTTTGCCTGATGCAATGGCATGTGGTTAGGATTATCTCACAGTGGTTATTCTCCAACCGTACATTCAGCATAGCCTTTATAGTTACTTTTCGTGAATACCTACAAAAGTAAAAAAAAATCGTAGCATTGCCATATTCCTATAAATATACATTACACATGAAATTAGCGTCCAGGAAATGGACTTTTTCGTTGACCTAATTTTAACCAATGCCAAACAAACGCAAAACAAGCATCGATTTCTGCTTATCAATACCTAGAACTACACATAAATTTTAAGTAATGATTTATTTCACGATTCCACTACATGTCAATCACTAGAAGCTTCTAAAATATCCATAAAAAGTGTTGATAAACACAGACTAAACAATAATCACAAACCACGTGATCTGGGCCACGTCCCTGGAAAGCGCATGTAATGTCGTCGTCTAAATTAATTTCGCATGCTATTCCCGACATAAAAATGCAATATGTGTACACAAAAATATAACTCATTAATACCATTAATCCTCTTCTTTTCTTAAGAGCATAAATCATGGTGGATCATATCTATTTTCAAGAGTTTCGCAATGTGCTTTTTGGTCCGCCCTTACAAACAAAATCCACCATAATGGCGTACAGAGGGTTTACAGCCAAGCCATCATATTACAAAAATGCGGGATTCATTATTCCGCTCGCAATACCAATAGTCATATCCCCCTCTAGGTGCTATTTAACTATTGGTCGATTCTGGAAGTTTCCCATAATCTATCTACTAAACACACTCCCTCGTACAGTATTCGATATTATTAGATAATAAAAAAAAAAAGCATTTCCAATTTTTATTGGTCTATTTATTATTTAATCTGTAGCACAAAACAAATTTCAATTAAATCACATATTCAAATCCATAAATTAACATTTGTAAAAAATATGATAAATACTGGGGAGGAAAATGCAATACCGATATTATAAATAAGATGACGCGCTAAAGCTAGGCACCTTGTCAAAATATTTACTCTTAGGGCAATTATGCTTCAACCTTTTCTTTTTTGAATAAACTGTTATGATTCTTTTTCCAATTCAATTTGACCTAAGAAAAATGATTATTATAAATTTTAATTTCAATACTTCATTGAAAAACGTTCCGAAAGTAAATTCAAGACGGGGAAAAGTCTTTTTTTTTCAAAACTGATAAAAAATCCTCCAAGAACAGGATCAGGGACGAAGCATCGTTTTTAAAAGGCATAACAGAAAAAAATCGTTGGGAAAAAAAGAAAGTAAGGAAAGAAAGACAATTCTTCAAACTCCAGAATAACCTATAATTTCCTGTTGTGTGTGTGTGTGTGTGTGTGGGGGGGGGGGGGGGGTTGGGGGGTAACTTTCTTTCACAATCAGATCTTTTTAATCCGTACACAGTTGTACCAATTTATATGATTTAATCATGCTACAACAAAAAAGTTTCGTAAGTAAAATGTTATGTTTGGGAAAGGGGTGAGGGCAAACGTGTGACCTTTGAACAGTATAATATATTGTATTTATAAAATAGTATAAATTATTTACCAAAGAAATTAAATGTAACAAAATAATAATAATTAATCTAATCTGAGAAAGGTAGATTTCGGAAATTACTAGTATATATGTGCAAAAAGTAAAACATACAGAATGTGTAGCTCTATGATCCACGCTCTTTTTTCTATAGCTTCTTAATTCTCTCTCTCCCCCCCCCCCCCCCCCCCCCCCCCCCACCGAGTACGTTAATATTGCGTATATTTGTTGCTGTATGGTTAAACTAACATTATATTACAAATTCTGAAATATTATAAAGATGAAAATAAGTATCAAATATACGACTAAAATGATATACTCAGTATACATGCATTAAACTTTTGTCGTAGGAAACCGAGTTTCATATATAGTTATTGCTTGTTTTACCTACCGAAAATAAAACATATATAACTCTGTTTTTTCCTTGTCTAGACTAAGTAGCAAAAGTCATTCTAAAATTAATAAGGTTTTTTTTTTATCATAGAGAGTTGAATATTGAAGAATGTTCAAAGGAAATTAAAAGGTATCGTTTTGGTCTGTATCAATATATCGATATATCGATACGTATCGATATTCAAGAAAAATTTCGGATCGAAAAATTACTTCCAATACTTATTGGACAAGCAGCTTTTCTTTTAACTCTGCTAAAAAGATAGGAATTTTAATAAGCAAAGATTATATTTCACTTTTTTGAATTAAAACTGTTCAATAATTATAGATTTATAAAAGAAAGAACACAGTTTTTATAGGTATTATAAAATACACAATTTTATTTTAACCTGTTGATTTTACAGTCATTAAAAGTTTCGATTGGAAGTATTTTATTTACTGACTATGGGATAAGAACTTTGAAATGGGTAATAAAACACTAAAAATTTTTATGAAATCCATGCATTAAATGATTAATAAGCCATTTTGATGGATATGTTTTAGAATCCAATATATTGCATATCGCTTTAAAAAATATTGTATCGTATCGTATCGAAATTTTTTGCTCAATACACAGCCCTAGTATCGTTTGGAAAATATTATTTGCAATAAATGAATTTCTGAACTTTGATTTTTCGACTTCATTATTTACAATTGTCTTTTTTTTTTAAAATCTTTGAGCTGGTTGTAATTAATTTAAACGGTAAAAGATCTCAACCCCCCTTTTCTATTTGTACGGTAAAAGATCTCAACCCCCCTTTTCTATTTGTACATGCCAAGAAATCTCGTTCGATTTCCACAGCGATGGAGTCAATAAAAGTGTAATTGATGCAAATCACCCATATTCCCAAAACGCCGGCAAGACAATTTACGGCAGCAGACTTCTGGAGGTGGATCCTAGGTTCTTAGCTTTCTTAGAGAAAAAATAAACGTCTACCCCAGGAAGTAGTCCCTTATGCCCTAAATAGTTCCTGTCAAAAATCTTTATTTATTTATAAAATACGTAAAATGCCACAAACACTAGTACCAAAATTTATATTTTAAAAAGATTGACTGAAGAAAATAAAAAAAAAAATCAACAGAAAATATTCACTTTAAAATGGAAATGTTTACATAGCCAATCGGGTAACATCTACCCATTCAGTACTCGTCTCCATCTTGTTCAACCAGGAAATGATGTAATACTCTGCCTAAAGTTCGAAAAGGTTTCTTTATTTGTGTAATTTGGTTAATTACAGCCAAATGTTTATTCTTTGAAAGCAAGAACACAGTGTTGGGCGTGCATCAAAGTAACTCGGATTTCTAAAGTATAATATTTGAATGAAATTCAAATAAGATCACATGACTGAATCAGCAAGATGGAAGATCCCCTTTGACGTCCGAGGTTATGTGCGAGGTACGAGTCATCCGAGGAACTCCGATTGCGTCTCCATCTTGTGCAACCAGGAAATGATGTAAACTTCCGAAAATTTGGTACCCTTTTATCTATATTTCAACGCGATACTTCCACAACTACCCCATGCCAATTTGTACTAAGAAAAAATATTTTGAAATTGAATATTGCGTAAAAAATGAAATGCAGCTTATTTTGTTAAAGAATTAATTTACTATAATTAATTTCCATCCCCCTTTTTTGACTCCCCCCCCCCCCACCAAAAAGACCAGGGGAGGGGGGGGGCAAAACATCTAAATAATTAGTATTCTACATATAATTTAAACCCAGTAAATTTTAAGATCCCTCCCTCAAACCTGCTGACATTAATTGCTTGGCACGCATCTCCCTGGGGAAAAATCACAGATTAACGTTAATTCGGCTTTTATTGAGTTCGCAATACGGAGAGAATGCTATGGTTTTCTTGGCATGAATAAATGCTTTCTTTGATTGTTACTGTCATCTTAGTATGGGGATAAACAGTGACGTAGCATCGTTTTTGAAAGGGGGGAAGGGGGGGGGCAGTCAGAGAATTTTTTTTACTCATACCTGAAAAAAGATGACAAGCAAAAAAAAGGGGGGGGGCGAGATTGCCCAAACTCGAAAATCCTATTTCGTGGGAGGAAGGGGTGGGGGGTAGAGGCCAAGTTTTTTTCAATACCAACCAATTTTGTTTTGTTGCATACAATACAGCAATGAACATTTTCAATAGTGTAAGTAATGTTGGGGTGGGGGGGGGTGGGGGGCAGCCCCCCCCCCCCCCCCCCGTTGCTACGTGCCTAAATAAAAATTCAGCTGTTGAAGAAAAATGCAAAACCCACGTAAGTTCTTGTCTTGAATCAAGAGTGTTACACACAGAGGTAATAAAAAGATAAGCCAAAATTAATATTCCCCACTTTCACTTAATGAGAAGGACAAAAATTTAATTCATTTTTCAGTTCTTTAATTTGAAACAAAAAGGAAATGCACTGTACCTCAATTTCGAAATTTTCATAAAATATCACTGGGTCCGGGATGTATAATTCTGTGGATGGTTTGACCATTTGTGCTAATGCTGTTTTCAGAAACATTTACATTCCCTGGTTAAAATTAACCTCATAGACAGTTCCTGTTAATTACATGTAAGTACTCTGACTCCCCATACCCCATGGCCGATCTATCCAGTCCAACAACCCATCATTTAATGATGAACATTTCCAACAAAGAATGTGGTTAAATAAGTTGAGCATTCCCTACATCTTATTCTTCTGAGGTTCAGTTCAGCTGTTCCCCGCGCTTTGAATAAACATTTTAACATTCTCTTTTGATTATTTCTCTCTAAAATGAACATGTCCTCTTATTTAGAGAAATTTGCCAATTATTAAAACACAAGTTCCATGGGCCACAATGCTCACATGAGTCAATATGGCCCCAGTGATATTCATCATTAGATTTCTTCTCCTATATTCTATGTATAGAGTTTTGGTCGTCTGTTCTAGCCACACCCTTCCCCCAGGTGCCATGTTTCAAATGAAATTGAATCTAAACTCTCTGAGGATACTTCAACATTCATACGACTAATCATGGCTTTGTAGTCTCGTTTTCCCCAGAAAGCGAGGCCACAGTAGGTGTTGACAGGATAAAAAATTTCTAAATTTCTAACTGCTCCATGGCCATGAGTGTTGAATAAAGGTCTTAATTTGAAGCCCTTCTCCGGTATATGGTGATCATGATGTCTCTATGCGACTGAGAAATTCTCTAATGTGACATAAATCAACATCCTATCAATCAATCCCATTCTTGAAAAGATTTTTTTTTCCATATTCCAATGTAAAACTTTTGATCCCCCCATTTTGACCCCACCCTACTCTTAAGGGTTATGATTTGTAAAAATCTGAATATATGCTATGTAATGAAGATTTCAGAATTCACGTTTCAACTTTTCTGGCCAATTGTTTCTTGAGAGGAAGATTTTTAAAAGCCAACACCGAATTTTTACTAACTCTTTTATTATCTCCACTTGAAAGACTGTATGGCCCTTCATTTGAACAAATTGAATCCCCTTCAACCAAAAATGCTTTGTTGCAAGTTTGGTCGAAAATGACCCTGTGGTTCTTGAGAAGAAGTTGAAAACGTGAAATGTTTATGGTTTTCCAATGCTCCTTACAAATTAGGAGGAATATTTTTTTTTAATGTAAAATTACAATATATAAATAGAAAAATTCATGATATCCTTTATAAATATGTGTATTTGTTACTTTACCAGTACTGGCTATGAATGAAATAAGCACAACCTCTTCAAACTACTTTCATCATCTTTAATAAGTTGTATATATCACAAAATATATCATTATGCATGACAAAAGAAACAGGTAAGCAGATAAACTGAGGTACACTATTTGACAACTTTTTGAAAAATACACAAATATCACAGTCAATTAAGAATCAATTTTCTCAAAATGATTCACTTTTCAAAATCTGAAAATGTTTCATACAGATTACACACTGATTAATAGTGTACATTAGAAAAAGATAAAATTAAGTGTTGATTTTGATGCATAGAGAAAATCTCATCAAACTCAATTTTATAATTGTCTGGAATATTTTTGATGTTTGAATGGAAGTAAATAAATGATAATGATGCTGCTTTCATTTTTTCCATTCAGTTTAGAAAGTTTTTGTAACTCCCAAGTCTATTTGTCAGACACAATTTGTCGGGCGATGAGCTCCTTCATGATTTCATTACTTCCTCCATATATGGGCTGCACTCTGGCATCAACAAAAGCCTTGGCAATGGGGTACTCCCACATGTAGCCCCAGCCTCCATGTAACTGTAAACAACGGGTGGCAACCGAGTTCTGTAGGTCGGAGGCCCTGTTGACAAAAGATAAGACTCAATTATGCTTGTGTGAGAATTTCAAAGTCATAAAATAAAATATTCAAATTTGATTAATAATGGATAGAAAAGATTTGTACATTTTAAAAAAAAATCTGAAGAGGTTATAAATGTGACCTTTATGTCTAAATTGAAATTTGAAGTGAAAATGAAAAGCACTGGAGGCCCTTTCAAGATTTGAAATATCCAGATCAGATTATGTCCCAATTGGAATATACAAGTATCTTTGACCTAGCTGATATTCAGTATGCACCATGTAGAACTATTTACCAGTATTTAGCCATAGATGCTGATGATGAGTCCAGTCCTCTCTCATTGTGAATTTTCAAGCACTGGTCCAGGAAAGCTCGTCCCACACATATCTCTGTTTTTAGCTCTGCCAGCTTGTGTTGAACAGTCTGTAACATTGATTATGTATCAGAATTACATGTACATTGTACTAGGTCATTTCACAGTCTTATTACATGTATATACTAATACAGTTGTACCTCATTATATCAATATATATAATCTTGTGAAATGGGAGAGGAGAAAAATGCAGCAGACCAGAGTGGGATTAGAACCCTGGCCCCCTGAATCTCAGGTCAGGTGCTCTACCGACTGAGCTATCTGGCCACTGGCAATCAAACCCAGCTGAGCGCCACACTTGAATTCTTATTTTACAAATTCCTACCATTTTTAGTTAGTGTGAGAACTTTTCTGTGGTTTACTTTTGGCATTGAATTCTAATACAAATGACAATTAATCCAAACCTGAAGGTTAGAAATAGTTTTTCCGAAGGCCTTCCTTTGCCTGACATAGTTCCTAGTTTCCTCAAACATCCACTCACAGGATCCTATAGCCATGTCTGCAATGATAAGCCTCTCCTGTGGCAGCTCCTGCATCAGATAATAGAATCCCTTGTTTTCTTCACCCAGTAGGGACTCCTTAGGAAGGCGGACATCTTCAAAGAACAATTCTGCAGTGTCCTGTTAAAAAAATGTTTTTAAAAATATCTGCCAATCCATTTTTACATTAATTTAGGGTGAACATTTTGACAAGGGTTGTCTTAAATTCTTAATGCATATTTTTTTCGAAACTCATTAATTGCCCTGTTTGGGCAAAACAACACAGAAACGTGATTTTTTCTTTATAACTAAACATGTCTTGGAACTATAATTCCATTTTGTAGAAATGCATGCATCATATTATAATATTGTGTACAGGGAACTTTCTACCCATTTCATGTTTGCCCATTTTGACTTTGTTGCAGTTGGAAATTTGAATATGGACAAAATTCAAAGAAGATATTCCCTCGAACAAAACTGTCTTGGCAAATTTAAAATCAAGCAAAACTGCTTGCAAACGTATATGAAAGGGCAAAATAATATTATATGAGGCAAAAATAAATCCATATACACTGTGCATGTATACAGCTCCTTTTTTTCTCAAATAATTTTTAATATCTCTGTAGTTTTAGACACAGTTTGCATACCTGTGCTTTGAATCCAATTTTCTCTAATTTTCTGCCTTTGACAAAACCTTTCATTCCGTCCTCCACAAGGAAGAGACTAATACCATGGGCCTTTGATTTGGCTTCAGGGTTAGTAATGGCCACAACAATGACTACGTCTGACATCCAGCCATTTGTAATGAACACCTTTGATCCATTCAAAATGTAGTCAGAACCGTCTTTTTTGGCATTAGTTCGAATTCCTTGCAAGTCACTATAAAGATGATTCACAGTTAAGGGTGAAACGTTTACTGAATTTTGTAAACGTTTAAACGGATAGCAATAAACGAAACGTTACCGTTTAATAGATGTTGGATTTTTATGGCTACTTACTCAGGGAACTTGAATTTAATTATCAATTCTTTCACTTTAATATAAGTATGAGATGTTATTACAAATTTATTGTTGATCATTGTGATTTAACCGTAAGAATTTGAGGCGCATTAAATTCATTCACTTACGACCTCGTCATCCAACTGCTTGGTTTGTTTGGCTACCGGAAAATGGATCTTTTAATCACGAAAAAAGTACAAGACCTGCTGACTGTATTGAAACTTTTATAAGACTTGTGAAAAATGTATTATATTTATTTAATCAAAATACATCAAGTTTTATATTTCAAGTGTCGTAAAACATCGCTAGTATTAGCAACTCGGAAATTGGAATTAATTATGTTAGCCCGTATCGGGTTTTAGATATTTTCATTCAATATGTCTCCGGTTTAGATTGTTGCTTTTCAAATGGTCAAAGACGGTGTTTCTTTTGTAAATTATGAAATAAAACAATTTGTTCGTGTTAAACTTTATTTCTGATAGACATTGATAATGACCTTCGTGTAAACGTTTACTCAAACTGTAAACGTTTAGAGCATATAATCAAAACGTCGCCGTTTACACGTGTAATCGTTTCGCCCTTATTCACAGTGCAAATTGGAAAATTACAGGACTTAAAAAACTTAGACTAAATAAAATATATAGAAAATGCTTCCAGCTTTGATTGTATAGAAATCAGATCATTTATTAAAAGAAGTTATAATCCTTTTATCAATCATGTATAAATTGTACAAAACAATTTTTTAAACAGCAAATTCTGTTCTCTAGTTTGAGATGAATTATAAGCATTTCCCAGTTTACATCTAGCTAAACTCATCAGTAGTTTATTAACAACACAATTCTTATCATTAGTTTTACCTGCCTGCTCCAGGTTCCGACATTGCTATGGCTCCAATACAGGTTCCTGCAGTCATTCTCGGGATGAACTTCTCAATCTGCTCTTTAGTTCCGTAATGTGAGATGTATGGCATTATAATGTCAGAGTGCAGACTAAAACCTGGTCCTGAACAGTTCACATACATCCTGTATAAAAACATATACTACATGTACACTGAACCATAAAAAATGGCTGCAAATTACAATTCAAGTCATAAGAACATTGATAAAATATCTTGTACACTTTATTAAGTGTAACATTACTAGGTTCTTATTTGCATTTCAACATGAATCAACATTGACACTAGTAATCATTACTGTTACATAGATTTTATTTGGTTAGAGACATCCTAAAATCTTGGAGTCTGCAAAAACTTTCTTGAAAATGTATTCTTAATATATTTATAATAATATTCATCTTTAAGTAATCAAACAATATTGATAGATTGCTTGCAATAGTTATCATCCTTTTATTTACTTTTACTAATAGTCTGCTCTTGTAGATGTAAATGTCAAATATATCTACATGGTTTTAAAAAAAAGTTAAGAATAATAAACAGTGATTAATCTACAAAAAAATTACAATTAATATAAATTGATTAACAGGGAATAAAACAAATTCCACAGGTGAGATCAGGTGCCTAGGACGAGCAAGCATCTCCTGTAATTATCTCCCCTTTAAGAGGGGTGTAGTACTTTGTTTAAACTACTCTGAATCCCCTTTGCCAAAGGATTTTTTGTGCAAAGTTAACAGACAGACAGACAGTTATATCATAGCCAATTCCCGGGTATTCAAAAATTATAGCTCAGGTGAGCTGAAAAAATACCCACTGTTCTTCCCAGGTGATGGCTGTGGACAGGACATCCCCTCCTACTCCTCCATGTTCCTCTTTTGTATTGATACCCAACAATCCATTCTGACCTGCTTTCTCCCAAACCTACCCAACAATCAAATGAATACCAATGAATCCCTAGTCTAAAAAGGAATCATGAACACCAGCACTTTTTAAATAATTGCTCAACAGAAAAAAAAATTAAAATATGCAAAAACAAAAGATGATACATCCACTGAACTAAAACAGTCAGGAATTGAAAAATATGTTGATCTTCCATTTTGAATTCTGATTTATAGCACTTACCTCTCTGCTGACCTGCCCATCTTTTTCCCACCTACAAATACAAAGTATTACTATAGGCAAACAATTAAGACTTATACAAAAATTACAGGTCTGACTGCTGCCACACCTAGCTGACTGAGATTTCCCTGGCATACAAATGAAACATTGAACAATGTCAAAATATTTCCCATAGTGCAAAAGTTAAACAAAATGGTATGTATGCTGTGAAATTACAAATATGTCAGGGGTTCAAAATTTTTTTTGTCATGGTCAAGTCCAGGACTTAAAGAGTAAATTTTAGGCAAGTCCGAGGAAGAAATTTCAGAGTCCATATTTACCTATAGATCATTAAATTTATGTTACTTATAATTTATTTTCATTTGTTGCATTGAATGAATAAAGACTATATGTATTAATATATGTTTTATTTTTCCTCCATAAACTGTCATATAGTCCTACATGAGTATTTCAACACAATACCAGACTGATAGATTATTGGTACATTACAATAACTTTTACAAATACTCACTACTGAATAAACCATCTGTTACAATAAATAGAAATTAGAACAAGTGTCAAATTTAACAAATTTGCCGTTTGTGACTTTGTCATAGTGCAAAAGTTAAACAATTCGTAATGGTTTATGGTATGCCCACAAACCCACATTTTTACTTAATACATTTGAGAATTTGCTTTATTTTTAGCTTTGATAAAATTATAGCCAAGTCCCAGGAAATCCGGAATTTGTTAGTCCGGGACGTCGGGCTTGAGGAATTTTGAACCCCTGATATGTGTACTACAGACCTATACATTGACCCATTATTAATTTCATACTACATGTTATATTATTCCTTCTTGAAAGGAGAGGAACAAGACTTTTCAATTGCATCCCCTTACTCAAGGGTGATTTTGGCAGATTCTGGTTGAATTAAGTTAGAATAAGTTTTTTTTTGAAATCTTACATATTCATATTCTTTCAATATCTGGATTGTTCCCTCTACCTACAGCATATACAGTGATGTAAAACTTGTGATAGTTTTTATTTAATCTCTAACACTTTTTGTCCCTAAATAACTTACTTGGTGTGATGGGGAAGCACTTCTTCTTGAAAGAATCTCCTAACATTTTGTCTGAACATATCGTGCTCAGCAGAGAAGATTTCACGGGTTCCTATATCCATCAAGGTGGCTGCTTGACCAATTTCTGGTCGTACCTCACCATTTCTTTGAAATGTAAAATAAAAACGACAAAAATGAAAGAAAAATATTCCAAACCAACTCCTTATTTACTAATACTGTATAAGTGGAAATTTTAGCCAGACGCAAATTTAGCGATTTGTCCTTATAAACTGGTTAATTTATTTTTAGCGAGATGTTATATTAGCGATTTTTAAATGCACAATAAAGAAGCTATTACAAATAATACGCAATTTATTTTTAGCTAATAATGCCAAAATTAAATCCTCGCTAAAAATTCTACTTATACGGTATGTATGGATACTTTAAGTAATTTTAACAAGTCAAATATCAAAAGAGGTAACAGAAAATCTGGACTTTCTAGAGACACTCTAACCACTGCACCATGCAGGTGACTCATCAGCAGTTAGTTTAGTTAATCACTCCCTCAAGTCCCTGCATGGAGCAGTGTTTAGAACTTAGAGTATGTATGCTACATTGTTAAATATGCAGTAAGTAAAAGTACTAAACTTAAAAGGGAATTATTAATCATTCTATTCTTTTCTTTTATTTAATTACTGTTATTATTACTATGTATTAATTTGTCTCAGGGCAAAAGAGTATAATATGTAATTATGTATATATTGTCAAATTGCTGGCTTCTTTCTTCATTTAAAACAAAATCTTGATTTCACACATGTCCTCAATTTTCTCCATCCCATGATTTTGGCATTGGTCTCTTAATACAATTAATAAACATCAAGTAGCATACAAATACTTCCTGATTTAACAGTGGAGGATATCCAGCCTAAGATTAAAGGGTTATTGACTGTGGACTTTGGACCCATCTCAGTATTGACAGTAAACAAGTAAACGTAAACATAAAAATTAAAACATTGTATAAGTGTAATAAAGCAAAACTTATTCTATCTGGTTATTTAAATACCCATCTGCTAACATCCCTCTTTTAAGTACAACTGCATATTAGTTAATCACCTTTTGATGGAGGTGGAGAACCTGCAGATGTTGTTGAAGTGTTTGTTACATAAACGCACGCATCCTAGGGAAATAAAACAAACAAAATGTCATTCAAAGATGTATTCAATTCTGTTTGTCTAAAAGTTTGAAATAAAAAATCATAAAACTTTGAGGTTTGACACCTGTAAACGCATTTTACGTCGTAGTCTTACTTGTTAAGCTGGAGGCCGCCATTTTTTTCGTCTGCTCGGGTTAAAGGCAATTGATAACTTGTACCAAATATATTTCTTAATTAAAATAAAAAATACACAGGCCTGAAAAAATGCAAGGAACAGTCAAGATTTCTAATGAGAGGACACAAATGGGGGAGGGGGGGTGTCAAACCTTTCAGGGTTTAAGGACAGATGATACAAACAATTTTTTTTCTTTGGAGGAGACTTAATATCATGTCACAGGTTAAGAAAAGTGGATATTTCTTAAAACTAATGAAAAAACAAATATAGACAAATATCACGCTCAGTAAAGGTTTACAGATGAAAACAAATTTCAGAATACGTTACCTTGGTGCTAAAAGTGTAATATAACTTTGAAAAAATATAAAATTCTAAAACTTTGAGAGCAAAAAAATTCTCAGACTTAAGTATGAATTTCATGAGAATTTGAGAATAAAAGAGTTTAAGGTAAAACTTTTTTATGAGGAAAAACAAAATGATAAAAAAATCAATAATATCGCATAGGCTGATTTTTACCATTTTGATTTTTCTAATAAAATTCACCTGGCTTGGTATATTTTTCTAAAGTTTATATTACACTTTTAGCACCAGGTTAACATATTCTGAAATTTGTTTCGTCTGTAAACCTTTACCGAGTGTGTTTTGTCCATATTTGTAATTTTATTGAAATATAACTAATATTTTCCCAGTCTTTTTCATTTTCTTGTTCTAAGGAGAAAAAATTCTAAGAATTATCAACTTTACTAAACCTGTGACATGATATCAATTAAGTCTCCTCCAACGGAAAAAAATTGTTTGTATTATCTGTCCTTAATGAATCTAAAAAATATAAAGAGTTTATATTTTCTGGCCCAGTGGTTCTTGAGAAGAAGTCATTTAAAAGATGCCATTAATTTTTCACTAATTCATAATTATCTCCCCTTAGAAGAGGGTGTGTCCCTTCATTTGAACAAACTTGAATCCCCATTACCCAAGGATACGTTGTGGCAAGTTTGGTTGAAATAGGCCCTGTGGTTCTTGGGAAGAAGATGAAAATGTGAAAAGTTTACGACAACAACGAAGACGACGACAGACAACGGATAAATTTTGATCACAAACGCTCACTTGAGCATTCGGCTCAGGTGAGCTAAAAATTGTTTGGTTGCCCTCACCCCACAGACTGACTAACAAGGGCCTGAATCAAAATTTTTTTTGTAAATTCCAGTACACATTTTTTTTTCTTTTTATTTCTCTTCCCCCGTCAAGGAAAATGTTGAAATTTTCCGCAAAAAAAAATTTTCCCACCTACCTACTGACCCAATAGTTTTACCCCGAGTCGGGAGAGGGCAAGCAAACATTATTTTAAAGATGGCCCTACATATCCTCATCCTTTTGTGTACGTTTGATGACAATCTGCCCAGTGGTCCTTGAGATGATTTTATAAGCAACGACTTTGGGTTTTTATTTCCCTAGTATCACGATTTATCTCCCCTTGTAAAAGGGTCACATCCCTACTTTTACTAGAAATGGGATCCCTTGGGCCAGGGATACTCTGAAAAATCTGACAAAGATTGGCCAATATTCTAAAAAGTTTAAGCACACCACACACATGGCCATTCTTTAAGCCAAGCAAATAAAATTAATATCGATTCAACATTTACGCCATTGCAAACAAAAATTTTGTAGAGACCATTTCTTTTAAACCTTCCAACACTTCGTCATGCAAGACTTTGTCTTTTGAGAGAATTTTTCACTTGCATAGAGACACCATCACTTGCCGGTGGAGAGTTACAAATTTTGACCAGGACTCAGCACTCAGGGCCATTGAGGGATCTTTTTCATGCCAGCATCTATTGCAACATCAGTGTTTTCCCTTTATATCAAAGTAAAAGTTTAGAGATCAGTTGTACTAGGCTTTGGGCTGATGTTAATGAACAGAATCTCTGTTAACCTTACAACAAATTTTTATTTCAAAGCGGCATTTTTGTAAATTGATGCGGACATTTTTGTCGGTAGCAGGTTCTTATGGAAAATACTGCAACATTAATCAACTTTATATTCTGTCTGATACGAAGGACGGGAAGACTAAATAAACTTTGAAGTGACCTTTACATCATGCACCTCTACAACTACTAGTATGTTTCATCTTATCATCATTGGAATGTACAAGGTACTGAAAGCTACTCTGACAAACTTGAAAAAATTACCCGAGGTGTCTTTGGGATTTTGCCCTTCCAGAAGTCGATGAAAACAGCACAAATGGCCATAGTATTAGCACTTCCATCCCTTGGTTCATTTGTACTAAATATACATTCAAAATATTAATACTTGATATTCTTTATTAAAACTTTGTAAAAAATATCTGACAAAGGAATTCTACAAAACAAATGCCAAAATTCAATTATTGTATTAAGCAAAATTGATCATATTCTGATGATAATAAAAATTGTACCTACAAATATTTTTTTTTTTCAAAAAAAGAAAATACATCAATGACTTTATTGTGGAGAATTTAATGCTACAGGCTTGCTAGTTAACATCCACATTTTTAAAGTGTTTTTCCAATTAACTGTTCAAGAATATGACATACAATCAATGAAAATCCTATTCATTGAAAAATTTCACAACAGCAAGTTCCTAGAAATATTTTTCATGTAAAAATGTGTTCCAACATAAACAGCAATTATTTTGACAAAGGAGTAATTTTTTTCTCTCTGAGTGCTATGTTACATAGCTTATGATAAATGTACTATACATGTACAACTAAAAATAATGTGAAACTATTGTCTTTATTATCAGTGAGCAAAACTGAAAACCAGTCTATTCTGGTGAGTTACTTCCCACAGTAATAAACACATTATTGTTGACAATTCCTGATATATGGTGAAAAATAACTGCAGCATCCAAAAAATTCACACAAACCATCAACCTTTCAGTCATGGCAAAAAAAAAAATAATAATTGCGATTGGAAATATTTCTCTACTTAAAAACAACACTAAAGCATCTTATTTAAATGATTAAAAGAGAGATAGCTGTGAATGATATAAAGATGACAGATTACATTCTTTCACAACGATAAACATTACTACAAGTAAAGGAGATTGCAACAACTTGTTTTCCTACTCCACAGAAAACTTTAGGTAACCACTTGAAATGTATTAATGAGAGATGAGCACCATGAACATGAATGTAATGAAATGATTTAGTCTGCCAGCTGGTGAGGAAATGACATTCTGTAAACAACAAAAGGGGACAAAATTGCTGCAATACCAACCAACAGCCAAACCTCTCTATTGGAGGAACAAGAATTACATTTTGATCTGAAATTTACATGCAAAATGAAAGTGTTTATTTGCATCAGATAAAGAGGTCATCCCAAACATGGTGTGGGACATGTGCGAGATCCAACTTTGTCATTGGTCAATTTAAAACTGCCCCTTTATAAATGTCTCTTGTTTTTCTTTTTATAAGTCCTCCTTGCTTTCATCTTCCTCATTGTCATTATGGGTGTGCCACGTGAGTCGTTCCTCGTAAAATGCTATCACTATCTGTGGACACTTTACGTTGGCTTGTCTGGCTGGAACCAGATCTGCTTCATCGCTGTCTTTCCTGTAAAAATGTATTGACTAAGTCTACAAACAGCATTTTGAACTCAATTTCATCAGAAAAGCTAAAAACATTTTCCCAGCTTCCCTCTCAAATCTGCTTTGCATCAGTATACATGTACATTGAGTCAAAAATATTAATATATTATACATTTTTCCCATTTATTGAAACTAATTCCTGTAATTAGCAAATGATTTTAGAAACTTAGAGGATATCAATCCATCGGCACTTTTCCCAGTGGAGTAAGTTTTTAAGAATCGATATACAAAATTAAAAAGTTCATTCTAACAACAACTTTACCATTTCATTAAAAACATGAGTTCTCCTGAACTGTCTGTGGCACCAATAATCCTCTCAGGTAGAAGACCTCGGTCAAAACCTCTAGGTTTGTTATCTTCTTCCTGCAGCAAAAGATTTAGATGGTTAAAAAGTTTGTCAGTAGTGTGTTAGTCATTAACTTCACATAAATACTCATACTTCTTTTTCATTGAATCAATCTTTTACTATATGGGTCAACTAAGTAACCATCTTTTGTCTAAAACTTACATGTAATGCAGATTGTTCACTTAACAGTTTACTTATTTTTTTTTTGGTGGGGTGGGGAGAGACGGGTGAACCATATTTGAATATGACCAGGGACCAACCTAGACCAAAAATTTTGGGAGACTTCACTTCTCCCTCAAAGAAATTTAGGGAGAAGTTTTGAAATTTAGGGAGACTTCTTGGCGCGCGTCGTGCACATTAATCATTATTAAACTTTACAAAAATAAAATTATTTCATTGTTTATATCTTATTAATAAACACATTTCAATAATTTTTCTGCATGAACATCAGACTAAAAATAAATAAAAAGAAAAAAAAAATCTTTAAAAATTTGCCTTTATATTTTTCCAGTTACAGGGTATAAAATTATCTGACCCCAAAAATTAAACAATATCAGTCTTTATCATGTATAAGTTTCTTTTTTTTTTTTTGATAAACTTGTTTATCTTTCTTTTTTTTTTTTCATTTCATGCATAGTATGCACAATTAACTTTAATATTCTCTCTTGTTATTTTAGATTTTCAGGCTCTTTTCAAAGTCATTAATTTTTTTTTATTTAAATCACTTCAAAATTCATTTTCAATCATTCTTTTTCTAAAAAAATTTTATGCACTACTTCTATATGTAATACTGCATGCCAATTGAACTAGTTGACTGTGTGTATTAGACGTGTAATTTCTTAGACAGTTAATAACTCCACAATATAACAGTAAAAATACGTCTGTATTCACAGCATGAATAAATTATTTGACAGTAAATAGATCTAAAATCATCTCCAACATCTTTGGCTTGACATCGATAGCTGTCCAGCTGTTTTGCATCTTGTAGTGTATAACTTGTAACAATGGACTTTACATACACGGAAGCGTAAAATCTAGAGGGGTTCCGACAGAGCATTCGATGACTTTAGTACACTGTAGCAAAACAGGTGCAAGTGTCCCGCTGTTTTGCTTATTTCATCAGTAATAAAACCAGATTTATACAGAACTGTCGATTCTACCACGTTTCTTAATAGATTTTTTATGATTCTCAATAAAGGAATTGCAAATGTGAAGGCGACTTAAACTTCGCTTTCATGATAAATTACGGCGAAGTTTGGAGCCCAAAAGCGACTATTTCGCCTCAGTCGCCCCCTAGGTTGGTCCTTGATGACTTTTTTTGCAAACTTTACAAGTAGGAGTCAAATCAGAATACAATGCTGTCTGTCTCTGATAATTTAATTCATTTATATTAGTTGTCAGACTATTCCTAACACTTTACTTATTATGGACTTTCCATACATTAGACTCCTCCCGGTAAGTTTTGTACACTTGACTGAAGGATATTTTTAGAACTCTTCACATAATGTATATTTCTAATCACTCCCTCCCTGAAAAAATGAAGTCCATTTATTAACAAGCATTAAAATGTATTCCTTCTGAAACCTTCCGTTTCTTAACAATATTTCCTGCATTTTAGACCTAACAATTACTTACTCCTGTTTTGAGTCTTTTGACTTCGCAAGACTTTGTTTACTTACTGCTGTTTTGACTTCTGAGACCTTCTTTTTCTTTTTTGCTGCACCGTCCTCTGTTCCGTTTTGTGTTTTTCTTTTCTTTTCTTGTTCCTTCTTTTTCTTTTTGTCTTCAAACTCTGCTATAAGGTCTGGACAATCCAGATTTGCCTCAGGCTCCCAAGTATTTTCTGAACTACATTTGAAAGAAGGAGAATTGAAAATCATCTTCTGACACTGGATCAAGCATATTCTATATATCTGAATTAATTTTCATAAATATACCACCCAGTCTTAAAAAATGTAATTTGCTGGCTTGGAAAAAAAATGTGAGGAGACTTTCTTAATCTATCCCCAAACATTAAGTTTTAAAAACAAACATGACAAGTCAATCTATTTATCAAATATATGAACTACTAATGGGAAAATAACATTTTGGTAAATAATTAAATGCACTGAATATAAATCTGTGATCATCTGTGGTCTTACTCTGGATAGCCCTTCCATTTTAAGAGGTACTCTTTCCTTCCTCCCTTCATTCGAGAGTCCACAACCTTCTCTACTGTGTATTCTTCCTCTTCTTCCTCCTCCTCTTCAACAGTGCCTGCCTCCTCAACAATTTCTTCATCTTTTTTGGCTTTTGGACGGGTTGATGACATTGTAGCCTGAAATTTTAAAGAAAATTTGATTTCCTGGTTTTTCCTAAAATGTGTTAAAGCTTAGCTACCATAAAGACATTCATTTTATGCAATTGATCTTTCACAACAAAAAAGTTTGTAACTAGCATTCACAAATTAATCCAAATTATGTAGACAATGCACAAGCAAAACAAATCCATATACTTTGGTACCCTAGAAACTTGGCTACTGTACTTTAAGATCCCGATACATTGAATGAAATCTGATACCCATCTTTTATCTTTTTAGAGCCATTTTTTTTTAAAGAAGCTGGTTTAATTTTTAAGCCAAAATTGGGCCAAGATACAAATCACATATATGCTTAATCTCCCATAATTTATGTTTCATATGAAAAACTATGTTATCTCCCTTTGATTAGTGGAAAAGTGTAATTGTGGTTACTGTAAAATAGTAAATAACTTTTGTTAGACTTGCCTTTTCGTCCATTGTGTAGACTAACTGGGAACACAGCTACATATAGAAAACAGAGTGAGGATTTGACATATGTTTTATTAAGTAGAAGTCGAACAACATGGACCTGTCACAATTTTGGGAGGCAATTTTAATAAATTACTAATGCCAAAGCTACATCTTTGTCTAGTAAACATTTTAATGAATGCATATATCTAAGATTTACCTTGAAATGACTCATTTGTCACCTTTCTTGCTTATTACCATTTGCTTTCCAATTCCGACTTTCCAAGTTTCAACAGTATTCAGTAGCCTTTTTTATTAAATTACCTATTTCTTAATTCTGGTTTACCAGTGCAAAGCTTTACGAACTAAACTCTGAACTAAATGAAGAAATCGTAAGCTGAGGTTTCATTCTTACATAGGTGTTAATGTAGCTTGAAGCCCACCACAAAAAGGTTCTTACAGACCCTGGGTCTTACCTGTATGTGACAAGTCCATGTGTGCAAACTTACAAAGAACAATTGCAAGTGTATAAATGAACTGATAAAATTATCGAAGTCTTTCAAGAAGGATGAAAAACCAAAAGTCATTTCAATTTCATGAAGGGTTTAATTTTTGGTGCAATATCCAGTGGAAAAAGTAGAAATGTTTTGTTTTAAATATCTTCATGATCTTTATGCAATGTTATGTTAAGATTATCACGATTTGCATAATTCGAAATTTACAGAGGGTTTTAACTTTAACTTTCTGAACATAATACATGCTGAAGAGAAAATTGAGTCTATAAAGCTGCTGAACATCTGAAGCTGCATCTTCCATTCATAGTAAATACAGGCGCCATTTTGAAAAGCAAGCATGAGGCTTTGACAATATAATGCACACCAACTGAGTGTGTTAATGATGCAGTTTCAAAACTTTACCAGATCATGCTTTTTTCAAACAAGATGATTAAGTATAGGCAATGTTCAAATTGACCATAAATTACCTTAGAAAGAAGTATTCACAATAACCTCAGATATGCCGGGAACACAACGTCACGCTGATGCGCATGTATTACATTAGCTTCCGGTGGTAGGAAAACGCGGGAAGAAACATTTAATTTATTTCTTTTTATTCTTAAAGTAGATAGGCCGAATAAACATGAATTTAATGAAATTTATAACATCAAACTTGATATCATGAAATTGTGATTCAATGTCCACACTATGAAAAAAGAATGGAATATTGCTGGTCAGGAAAATATTTACACTTTTCTTCCGGATAAAAACGGATCGAAAATGGGTGCTTTCTTTGATTACGATTGGAATATGGATCCCCAAAATGACAGATCAAAATGCCTAAACGATTACACAAATTATGCTCAACTAAAGCGTAAAGAACAATCTTCTATTTTTTGTAGTTTTTGTCCTGTCCGTCTGTCTGTTAGTCCGCAAAAACATAATCTTGCCCATAACTTTTGACTGGGTTGGGTCATGGCTTTCACATTTCACATGTGTAGTCCCTGTGATAGGAATTTTCTTTGTGTACCACCAAATTTGACCTTTTGAACTTGACCTTGGAGTTTGACAAACTTTTACAAAAAGAAATCCAAGCGATTACTTTGGTCATATCTTTTGAACGATTAGAAATTAAGGACTTTAATTCATACTACTAATACATGTAATCTCTCTGACAAAACCTTTCATTGGATACTCTTTGACCTTGACCTTAGAGTTTGACCTACTTTTTAAAAACTAAGCTTAGCCATTACTTTTGAACGATAACAAGGGCTAGGGTTTTTATACTTCAGTATATGTAATCCTTGTGACAAGACCTTTCAATGGATACTAACAACTTTCACCCTTTGACCTTGACCTTATAGTTTGACTTACTTTTTTTCAAACTTTAACCTTGGCCATAATTTTTGAACGATTAGAGCTAGAGCTCTCATACTTCACATCTGAAATCCTAAATGTTACACGACCTTTCATTTAAAACCAACAATTTTGACCTTTTGAACTTGACTTAGAGTTTGGACTACTCTTTGTTCCCTGCTTTCGAAAGCGTGGGGACACTAAATCTCATTCGTCTGTCCGTCTGTCCTTCTGTCAGTCCCGCCGTCTATCCTTCACAAAAAAACTTAATTTAACCTTGGTCATATCTTTTGAATGAGAAGCGATAGGGCTTTCATATTACACTTGTATATATATTACCAGTGACAAGAACATTCTAAATACACTTTGATTTTTGACCCCGTGACCTTGAACTTGAAGTTTGACCTATTTTAAAAAAAAACATTAATTTGAATTGGCCGGCCATACCTTTTTGAATGAGAAGAGATAGGGCTTTTATATTAGAGATGTTTATTACCTGTGACAAGATCTTCCTTAGTATACACAATACGTTTGACCTATACTTTTATAAAACTTTAACTTTAGTCATATCTTTTGAATGAGAAAAGACAGAGCCTATATATTACGCAAGTATATTACCTGTGACAAGGCCTTTCTTAATACACTATGATTTTTGGCGCCGCTTATTTCTGAATGAGAAGAGCTAGATAGCACTTTCATATTAAATGTGTATAACCTGTGACAAGACCTTCCAAACACCATGATTTTTTACATCGTGATCTTGACCTTGAAGTTTGACATACTTTTCAAAAACTTTAACCTTGGTCATGAATTCTGAACGAGAAGAGATATGGCTGTCATATTAACCCTGTGTATTGCCTTTGACAAAACGTTTGTAAAAACGCTATGTTATTTGTGACCTTGAGGTTTGACCTACCTTTTCAAAATTGTTAATCTTTATGCCCCCTTAAACGAAGTTTCGGGGGGTATATAGTTTTTGTCGTCTGTCTGTCTGTCTAGCTGTCTCTCTGTCTGTTTGTCCGCAAACACTTTAACCTTGCCCATAACTTTTGATTTAGTGGAGCTATGGCTTTCATATTTCACATATGTATTCCTAGTGACAAGACCTTTCTTTGGGTACCACCAAATTTGACCTTTTGATCTCGACCTTAGAGTTTGACCTACTTTTACACAAAAAATTCAAAAATTCTACTTTGGCCATATCTTTTGAACAGTTAACACCAGGACTTCTATACTTCATATATGCATTCTTGTGAAAAGACCTTTCATTGGATACCGACAACCTAGACTTTTTGACCTTGACCTTGGAGAATTTTGTACTTATGAAAAAACTTTAACCTTAGCCATAACTTTTGAACGATAAAGGCTAGTGCTTTTATACTTAGAATATGTAAGCCTTGTGAAAATACATTTTCTATGATACCCAGAACTTTGACCTTTCGACCTTGACCTTGGAGTTTGATCTACTTTTAAAAAGCAAACCTTGACTAAACCTCTTAAGGGTTAGGGCTAGTACTTTCATACTTCACATATTAAATCCTTGTGACAATACCTTTTATTTGATATCAAGAACTTTGATCTTGATCCTGGAGTTTGACCTACGTACTTTTAAAATTTTAAACCTTGACCATAACTTTTGAAGTGTTAGGGCTAGGGCTTCCATACTTCACATATGTATTCTCTGTGGCAAGACTTTTCATTGGATACCAACTACCTTGACCTTCTGACCATGACCTTGGAGATTAAAATTTTAACCTTGGCCATAACTTTTGAACGAAAAGGGCTAGTGCTCTCATACTTCACGTTAGTAATCCTTGTGAGAAGACCCTTCATTGGATATCAAGAACTTTGACCCTTTGACCTTGACCTTGGAGTTTGACATACTTTTAAAAGACAAACCTATTTCTTGTGAGATGGCATTACTTTGGGTATCAGCATATTTGATTTGCATTTGAAACAAGCAAAATTTTGTCCCCCACTTTCGCGAAAGCGAGGGGACATTAAATTTCATTCGTCTGTCCGTCTGTCAATCCGTCACAAAAACTTTAACCTTTAGTCATATCTTTTGAATAAGAAGCGATAGGGCTTTCATATCACACGTCATGTATATTACTTGTGACAATACCTTTCTAATTACACTATGATTTTTTCTATACCCCTACCCTTAACCTTTAATTACGTTTGACCTACTTTTAAATTAATTAAAGGTTGCTTTGAATTGGCCATAAATTTTGAATGAGACTGAAGAGATAGGGCTTTCATAGTTGACATGTATATTACCTGTGACAAGACCTAATAGTATGTAAATTTACACACTACGATTTTTTGAAGATTGACATATTTTTCAAAGACTTTAACCTTGGTCATGACTTTTAAAGAAGAAGAGATAGGGCTTTCATATTATACATGTGTATTATCTATGACAAAACATTCTTTAGTACACTATGATTTTTGACCTCATGACCTTGACCTTGAAGTTTGACGTACATTTCAGCTTGTTACTCCGCGACCCGCGACTTTAGATTTTTTTTTTTCAAATTTCCTCTTTATTTATACGCAGAAGCCGAGCATCTTTTAGAAGGTATGTCTACATCTTGGTGGTATTGATGCCTCATGTTTAGTGGTTAAGTCATCAAGTGGACCCTCCTTCACAGGTTGTTTCGATTCTATACACGGCAACCCCCAGTCACTGCAGAGGTGCCACAAATGAGGTGATCAAATTTCAGCCTAGAACCACTCAGTTCTCCGCCTTCTCCGCCCTTGCCTATGATTTTTTGGCTGCGAAACACCTTTTGGTATATACACATGTTAGAATTGTGTTGCACACTTAACTATTCTTCGTGCTTTTACCATGTTGTTATGGAGGTTACTCTAATCCTGCATCCTTGTCGAGAAATAAGTCTGTGACTTTGATGATCCGCAAGACCTAGCCCTTCAAATTAATTGCTCCGCAATTCCTCGACATCTCTCCTCCACTTGACGACACTAAACTCTCCAGCCTTTAAGCTGACAGTATGTAACATAAGGTATTTTCCAGCTTCCTCTCGTAGACTTCTTCCTAGCTCCCGTGGCACTGTTAGTTCGCTAAGCCAAATGAAAATCTGGTTTCTGATTGGTAGCAAACAAAACTACAGAAGCTCCTACAGAAACTGCAAGCCATATATGCATTTGTATACGCTATAACCATATTCAGACACTCCATGAATTGTCTCCATTGTTGTCAAAGGTACGTCACATAAAGAAAAGGCCTATAACTGGTAATGTCATGCCGATCGATCCATATATATTCTGCACAAGTATTTTCCGGCAAAGCACTTTTGACTGTGCTATTCATCAAGTTCTTAATTTGCTTGCTGTCAACGTCATTTTGCGGTAACACGGCGGGAGTCAACAAGTCCTACAGGAAGAAAAACCCAATCTGAAGAAATACCCCGACGTAAAAAAAGACCCCCGGATCCAGTGAGAAACCTCACCAAGAGGTTCTTGACTCAGAGTTGTGAAAAACCAGTCGGCCGAAACATGCGAAAGATCTCCAGACGATGAAAGCAGAAACAAAGATGGTAACTTGAATGTACAATCCACGTTTCAAACTGTATGTGACCGACCAGGTAGCAAGAGAGAAGAGGAGTTACAAACCCAATGACTCGGAATATATAGGAGCGGATGGAATGGAACCGGCATGTCTTCAGTAGTTAGTGGAGAAAAGTTCCTTTACTCTGAACATGCGGATGAAAGCTATGAACACACACTGACTTGCTATCATGATATCTTCCGCTTCAGCCAAGGCACTAATTGAATGGGAACCAATCTCATCAATGATTATGACAGCAAGATTCTACTCCAAAGGAAGAAAAATAACTGTGATCCAGTGCTACTCACCAACAAACACTGGAAATGAAGATTATACCCAATACTTCGGGCAGCAGAGAACAAGATAAACGTAGGCTAAACATCAAAATCTTAATGGGCATGAATGCCAAGTTAGGTGCAAACAACTCTAGGAAAGATCTCATCATGCACTGTAAAAAAAATAACTAGTTAATGTCACGAAGAAAACTAGTAGATTCACTGTCCATACAATCACTACCTTAATAGTAGTTTTACCAGATATTGGTATATTTACTAGATAAGATTAGTAAATTTAGAATTGATGAGTAACTTTCACTAGGTATCTAAGTATCTATACGACCCCCGCTCCACAACTCACTACCCCGGTATCTTAACCAGTAAACTGAAAGTTCACTAATCACGACCAAAGCTTTA